CGATCGGCACAGGCACGTTTCACCCAATTTTCACCTAGCCAGCGGCTGATGGCGAAATAGCAAAAATATAAACAATGCCCCGACACGTGAATCGGCGGCGGCGAGAGAATCGAGAATCGTGAATCGAGAATCGTGAATCCTCATGGCCCCCAAGAAAAGCGAAAGCGAAAATGAAAATATATAGAAAATGCGGCTGAGGAAAATAAGGAAAATAAGAAAAATACGTAAAAAGCAGTGGGAAAAAGAGACGAGAAGCAGGGAAAGCAGCAAGAGAGACACTCTGTGCGTGGAAAATTTCAAATTGTTGTTGAAAATTGAAAAAACTGATTCTAACTTGTTTATTTCGGACACCCAGTGGGTGAGTCTGTCAGTTATTTCGATCGCTTCCCATACTTATATATACTTCGATTTGTTTATGTTTTTTTTTTGTATTTGTTTCTTATTTGTACTTATTACGCACAGAAAATGTGCTTAGTCTGTTTGAAATTTTGGCAGTGCTGGGAATTTGTCTGATTTCCGGTTAGAAATTTGTTTGTTTTTATTTTTGAAAATTATTTAAAGAGGTTTTTTAATGGATTTTATAAATAAATATTAATATTATCTTGATTGTTACATTGGTTTTTAAAGAAACATATTTAGCTTATAATTTTAAAAGTATTTAAATTTATTTAAAGAATTTCTTTTTTAAGATTTTAAAAGTAAATATTAATATTATTTAATTTTTACTTAGGTCTTTAATAGGATCATATATAGCATATATTTTTAAAAGCATTTAAAATGATTTAAAGAGTTTTTTTAAACAGATTTGAATAAAATATTAAATATATTATTAAATATTAATATTATTTAATTCTTACTTTTGTCTTTAGAAATCGTATTTATCATCTGTTTTTAAAAGAATTTAAAATTAGGTTTTTCGGCTAAATAAAAAATATATAAACATTAAATTTATAAAAAACAAATTGATTTTTTGTTTATATTTATTATTTATTTGTTTATATATTTTTTATATTTTTGTTTTGTTTATATATTTTTTTTATATATTTTTATATCTATTTTTTTTTATTTGTTTATATATTTTTTATTTATTTATATATTTATTTTTTATTTATTTATATATTTATTTTTTAATTATTTATATATTTATTTTTTTATTTATTTATATATTTATTTTTTATTTATTTATATATTTATTTTTTATATTTTTTTTATTTATTTATTTTTATATTTATTATATTTATTGTTTGTTAAAGAGTTCTTATTTTGAGTATTTTTAGACAATTTTAACTTATAAATCATAATAATTTCCTTCAAAAAATAAAAATATATATTATTAACATAAAATTATACATTAACATTTTATAAATAATTAAACATTTTATAAAAAACTATTTAAAAAACTATTAAATTTTAAATAAACATGAAAATATTCTTCTCTGTTCTTGATTTCTTCTCTTTTTTTTAAAGAAAACTTTTCTCCATTATGCCTGGCATTCCAAATTCAGTTTTCCCATTTAAATATTTTCCAAGATATTTGCCTCAAAATTTTCCTATGTCACCGTTACCCATTACCCGTTGCAACTGGTTAAACCGGTACAGAATCGGACAGAATCGACTGCGTCAGCATCGGGGAGCTTCGAAAATAGATCATATTGGGGAAAGTATGAGCGAGCACTACGTTCTAGAGATCCTCCCATCTCGAGATCTCCAACTGTTGCCCCCCAAAAACTCTACCAATATACTGCAAACCTAGTATATAGTATATATATTTATAGACAAATCGGAAATCAGTGCGTTGCGTCCTTCCTATTTCGACCGGGAGGTCACCCGGAGATTGGGAGATCTTGAGGGAGACAAAGAGAGAGATAGAGAGTGGCGACAGAGTCTGCTCTGCTGCAGGTGGACCGGACCTGTTCGGTCTGGAATCGGGCGGATCGGACCTGCTATATAGATATATAGCCCAGCACATAATAGAGACCTAGCCAGACCGCCAAGAGACTGGGGTAAAAATACACACGCACACTCTCTCTTTCGGAGGAAGGAAGGAAGTAAGGAAGGGGTGCCGCCAATGCTGACGTTGTTGACATTGGATGACGTTCCATCAGCACATGAAGCTATATATATATTGACACATATCCACCAATAGCGATGACTAGGAGGCGTAACCAGATTCGAATTCAGATTCACAGATTCCGAAAAGGAACCGCAGACAACACGTGCAACAGGCTGTTTTTTTTTTTTAATCGGTGCGGGTTCTGTGTTCCAATTGGAATTAGCATGCTAATAGGCGAGAATGGAGAAACAACAACCAAAGTGAAGAAAATATTCCCACAATTTAAATGCAAATTTCGAGTAAACAAAACCAGGCGAACGAAGGCGGGCGCACAATATTTACTTGTGTTATTTTCCATGCTGAATATGAAATGATTTATCAATCAGATTGTATGTAAATAATAGATCAGTTCGAAGGGAGAACTGCCTGTTATGACATGTTCTACATGCACACAGGTACAGTCTGCAGAGCTGCGATAACGATAACAATTGACCCAGCTCTATCCTTACTTTTGTGTTAATTTTATTCCTTGGCTTTTTCGGGTTCTGCTTCGTTGGTCAACTCAACTGGCATTCTAAAACTTTTGCTTTCTTATTTTCTGATTTTTCGTAATTTCTTGAAATGGGAAAACAAAGTTTTCCGCTGTTTTTCCGATATGTGTGTGTTTATAATTTGGATTATTGCCAGGTGCTTTTGGTGATTCGATTTTTAGGTTTTATTTGCTTTTGTTTGCAACTTGTTAATTCTGTTGTATATATTTTTTTGTTTGCGATATTTGCTGTTTAGTTGTAATTCATTTATATTGATCTCTCTTTCGACACGCTCTAGAAATCAAATCGAATTGCAATTCGATCGGATTTCGGTTTTTGCCTGTGAATAGCTGCGCGATTTTTTAGATCACTTTGATTTGGTTTTTTGGATTTTTATTTTTATTCTTTTTTTTATTGCTGTTGTTATGCTTTTTATTTCGATTTTTTTTTTGTGGATTTCTTTTTTCTCGCTCGGATAATCGCAGATTTCGTGTGCTAATGTCGCGGCTTGAACTTTAAAACTGAAAACGAACGATTTTTTCAGATGTTTCGCATTGTTTAGTTTAGTGCGCTGTGCGGGCTCTCTATTGTTGTTGTTGTTGTTGCTGCTGTCGCAGCTTTTGCTGATGTGATTCCTCTTGTTGTTGTTGTTGCTGTTGTTGTATTATGTTTACTACTGTCTACTAAATACTGCTGCCGCTAGGTGCAGCACAGGCAGCGATGCCGCCGACAGAGGCAGGCCTACACCCGAAAAAAATAAAGGCTAAAATTAATATATATTTTGTAATTAGTTGTAGTAACCATTACTACAATTCACCAATTGTTTATTACCAATGTTTTTAATCAATATTTAATTAAAAGGTTTTTACCAAAGGTTTCCAAATGCTATGTTCACCATATTCCAACAATTAATTTAACAACAATTCTACAATTGTTCACCAATGGCTTCGCTTATGCTTCAACAACAAGCAGAAATGTTTTGTAAATATTTTACTAATGTTTTTGAAATGTTTTATTAAGGTTTCAGCTTTATTTCAGCTATAAATGTTTTATAGATCCTTTTCCAATGATTTAACAAAGTTTCACCAATGTTTCATCAATATTTCATGAATGCTCTCTTAACTGTCTGCAGTATTCTTATTAATTTTCAACTGCCAAGTGATACAATTATTTTTCTAGTGTAGCCCCCATCATATAGCTGATCCCACATACAAAATCTCATCCCATCATTCCCATCGAACCTCTCTCTCTGTCTCTCTTTCAACAACAATGGGATCGCTCAATGAGCTTGAGTGTCATCCACTTAGGAAGCGCCAACCACTGAACTCGCCACAGCACCCACCGCCAGCAACAACAATAAAAATAACAATAACAATAAGAAATAACAACAATAAAAAGTAGGGACGGCGGCAGAGGTCGATGTCGACGTCGTCGTCGTCGCAGTAGCAGATGATTATAATACAATGGACGATAATGCGAGCGATCATGTAAATTTTATTAGATTAGATTTGTCTCAGTTTGGCGACGTTTGTTAGTTGGCTTTTATTTTGATTTTTTCGAGAAATTGCCGTTGCCAAAGGAGCAAAAATATTGCAAAGTTGGAGATCAAGTCTACTCCGAAACGTTTGCAAAGCGCTTGATGGTAGCTCTAATAAGTTAAAAAGTTGAAATTTCAAAAGTAAAAAGTTTAAATTTTTTAGTATTTCACATGAGATGATTTCCGAGAGAAACGACAAACGGCATTTATTTATTGCATTATATTATACCCCTCAAGTGCTCTTTTCTCGTTGAGTGCGAGTGCGATGCTTGGATTTCATTTGTTTTCTCCGCCCTGTGTATTCTGTGTGTGTGTGTGTGTGTGTGTGTGTAGGGGGGTAGGAGGGTTAGGAGAGGAGGATCATCTTCAATGGAATTGATCAAGATATCAAGACATCCCAAGCATCCAGCAGCGCAGCGCCTCTGTCGTAGCAAATTGAAATAATTCAATTAATTTGCATTGTAAGTATAAGTGGTTGGGATTGTAATCAACAACGAAATCAACAAAATTTTAGGAAAATCAACTTGAAAACAAGGCGCAGGCCCAGAAAAATCTATTTAAATGAGTCAGACCTCATAATTTTGGTTAAAAATTCAAATGCGCGGGCTTGTAACTCAAAGCTATGACACTCGGAAGGGCACTTTCTTCCAAGCAGTGCAGTCAGTTTTGGGTTTTTAAGTTACCTTAAAAATTTATAATAATTTGCATAAAAATATAAAACTCTACAAAGTTAACATTTACTTACATTTAACTATTGTCTTTCTATATTTTTTTTAAATATTAAACTTTTAAATTTAACGGGTTAGAGGCAAGCAGTTGCCTGCTATGACACTTGACCAGTGAAACCATATGTGTAGAGCAAGCAGTTGAAAGCAGTTTGAAGCAGTTGCCTATCGATAACAAAACAGCTGATTGCCGGCGCATGTTGTTTTTCTTGTGCAATTTCCGTGAATTAAATTTCCATTTTCTGTGTGAAAAACGTCCATGAAGTGACCAAAATGCAACGTGCACGCTTGCTGCCAAGCCTGTGCCTGCGTTGGCAGCGTCTAGGCCAACTAACCGGAAGCCTGGCCTGCTCCCCGAGCTCAGGACAGCGTTATGCAATTGCAAAGTCGCCGGTTGGGACTTTTCCGGCTTTGCTTGTGACTTCCAGCCAGCAGCAGCGTTTCCTCAGCACGGAAAGGAAAACCAGCAGACGCAACAACACTTCACCCAGGCCTCCAGCCAGCATCGAAGAGGTTTGGACTCAATTGGAGACGTACTATCAGCAGCACAGCCTGCTCAACTATGACCACTGCCAGCGGGTGCTCGAGCACCTGCAGGCCAATAAGGCAGGTACTGTGACTGCCGAGCAGGTGCACTTCCTGCTGGGATCGTGTGTGCCCGAACTGCTGCCCGCACAGAGTGCACAGCAGAGGCTGCAGCTCTTCCAAAACCTGTGGAAACAGCTCCTCAAGCTGGGACAACAGCCCACGTTGGCTCACTACCAAACGCGACTGCAGGTGTTGCGTCAAAACCGTCTGTCCCTGCCCGAACATCGATCCCTGCTGGCCGAGATTGCTATCTACCATGGAGCCGCCGATGCTGGCCTGTACAGCGAACTGTTGGACGTGGCCTGCTCGGCGGGCAACATGCGCCAGGCCAGTGAACTTCTAGCCGAGATGCGTGAGCACAGCTTTGCCCTCACCGAACGTAACTTTCATTCGCTGCTTTTGGGCCATGCCCGCAATGGAGATCTGGCCGGAACAGAGTCTGTGGTGGCCAGCATGCGTTCTGCTGGGATTCAACTGGGCACCAGCACCACCGAGGCCCTGCGATTCGAGGCGCTTGTGGAGAGCGGTCAGCTGGAGCGGGCCAAGGAGGTGGTGCTACAGGCCACATCCAGCTTCAGTCATGCCCAGCTGCTTCAAATGCTAAGAGCAGTGCTGGCGGCCAAGGATGTGGATGTTCAGCTTGTCCAGCAGCTGGTGAGCGAAATGCCCAGGGAATTCCTCACAGGACTGGATCTGCCGTCTGTCCTGAAGAGCCTTTGCATCCAGCTGCTGCATGAGAGTCGTCCCCAGGTGGTCATCCAGCTGGTAGGTGCCTTGCCGGCGCCCAATCACACCCAGAACCAGAATGTGGACGAGTATGGCAGCCTGTTGCTGCAGGAATTCTTCCGCGCCAATATACCTGTTCAAGAGACTCTACAGTTTGCCCGCCAGCTGGTCCAGCGTGGCCAGAATCCCCGTGCCCTACACCTGCTGGTGGAGTTGGCCCTGCGCCGCCTGCCTGTGGCGGCTTTGAGCTGCCTGGAGGCCTTGGCCGCCGCTGGAGAGGAGCTGCGTCCTCACTACTTTTGGCCTTTGTTACTGCATCATTATAGACGCGAGGGTGAGAGTGGAATGCTGCGCCTGATCTCCGAGATGCAACGCCTGCGTGTGGAGTGCGACGAGGAAACCCTGCGGCAGTACCTGCTGCCGAATCTCACCCAAAGCTTGACGCAGCCAGTGGAGAGTGTAAAGGCATTGGAGGCGGTGGGCGTGAAACCCTCGCAGTCTCTAGGACCTATTCTAGGTATACTCCTGCAGCAGCACCAGTTGCCCGAAGTCCAGGAGCTGCTCAAGCGCTATCCCACGCGTCTGGATCTGGGGACACTACTTCAACCCCTGTGCTCGCTGGCAGTGAATGCGAGGGCCACCAAGCGTTACGAGTCTTTCGCCCAGCTGATCCAAGCTCTGCAGCTAAAGGCACTCCAACGGGAAGAGGACTTTGTGGGCGCCCTGCTGCTTCAGATGTGTGGACCTCAGACACGCCTGCGTCAGGATCCGGCAGCCCTGCTAAGCTTTGTCCACGAACTGCAGCGTTTAGAGCTGCAAATCTCACCCACAGCCGCCGAGGCTTTGCTTTCACTAGCCCGCCAAGCCGTCACCAAGACGGAGGAGGATATCAGCCAAAACCTGGCCAAGATTTTGCAAAAGATGCGCAACTCTAAGCTGACCCTACCGGCAGATGCCGCCTCCCTGCACGGCGGCTTTATCAAGCATCCGCGGGACATGAGCCTGGATGAGCTGGAGTGCCACCTGGTGGAGCTGGAGGCCAAGCAGCTGAATCCACGTGGAGTGTTGCGCCGGCTGCTGCAGCTAACCGTGCGCAGTGGTCGCCTCGAAAGGGCGCAAGAGCTGCTGGCCAAGTGCCAGGCCCTGAAAGTGCAATCCAGTGCCGGCATGCTGGCCTCTATTTTGGATCTTCACATCAAGTTGAGTGATTTACCGCGCGCCCAGAAAACGTTGGATCAACTCAGGAGCAGCTATCCAGGTGAATAGTTTGGGTTTTGGTTTACTTTGTGATGGGATTAATCCTTCTTCCTGCAGCCTTCCAGCTGGACGAGCACAAGCTCATCGACTTTGCTGCCTTGTTGGTGCGCGGCGAGCAGCTGAAGGCCGCCAAGCAGCTGCTGCGTCAGCGTTCGGAGAACCACAAGATTGTGGGCGGCGACTATGTGATCAAGAATGTATGGCAGCTGCTCAACAATGTGGCCCAAATGGCTGCCTCACTGCCTCCAAGTGGACCCGAGGAGAAGTCCAGGAATCACACCAGCGAAATGCTAGACTTTTTGCGTGGCCTGGGCTACTGTCAGTCCCACAATGCCTTGCTGGGACCTGTGGTGCGCGAGTGGCTGCTCAAGGGTGACCTGGATGCAGCGGTGGAGGAGTTCCAGCGGCTGGCCACCAAGCATAAGCACACGCCCCTGCAGTTTGAGATGCTCTCGCTGCTGGTGCGCCTGGGCAATGGCGATGAGGAGGAGCTAAAGCGTTTCCAAACCAGCAAGACGACGACGACACCTCAGACAGCCCAGCAGCATCTGTCTTCGGTCACGAGCACAGTGAGCCGTGTGCATGGTTCCGCCAACATGAATAGTGCCCTTCTACTGGCCCTGGCCGAGTCTGGAACGGAAACCCAGCTCCGTCGGCTGATCATCAACCCCGAGTTCCGTATCAATCATGAGCTGCTGCTCAAGAACTGCGAGCATTTGGGCCAGGAGGGAGCTGTGCGCACGCTGCTCCGCTTGGCGCGGGGAGTACGAGGCGTGCAGCGAACCATTGACGAGCAGAAGATTTACGATCTGCTCCTTGGGCAGTTTTGCCGCAGCAATGACTATGAGGCGGCGCTGAATCTGTTTGAGCGCCTGGAGGCCGACGATGAGCTGAAGGTGTCGCAGGAGTTTCTGCGCAATCTGGTGCAGTTGCTCAATGTCAATCAGGTGGAGATACCCAGTGGGATAGCCCTGAGGGCACAGATTAGGTAGCAAAATGATAGTTTCTAGTTTTTTTTTTGTTTTTTTTCTTTTTTTTTTGTGTGTAAAGTGAAAAGCCAAGTAGGCCTTGATTTGGCTCAAGTGACACCTGCCAGGTGTGGTGCCCGAATCTTAGATGATTTTCAAACGCGTCGCAAGTAATATCAAGTTCAACAAACAGCTCCTGATCGTGCTCCGTTTATTGCGACGTAAAAACCGATCCAAATTTTAGTTCATCATCATCATGTTCCGTGCTCTGTACCGCCGGCTGACCAAGCGGAAGGAGTCGCGTGGACGCGACCAGGGGGAAGAGGAGGAGGATGTGCTGGCCAATGATAAACCAAAGCAGGAAGAGATTCAAATCCAAGTTGAGGTAAAGGAAAATAAAGAGGAGCAGATGGACACCATTGTGGCCAGCCAGACCCAGCAAACGCTACCCTCAAATCCCGAGCAGCTCAAGGTGCTGGCCACTCGCCAGCAGATGGCCATGTTGCTGACCCGCCTCAGCAATGACGAGGCCGAGGGCGACGACAGCGACACCCATCAGATTGTACTAGAGCTCTTGGGCAGCTTCGATACGGCCACCTCATCCTCCACCTCAACCATTGAACGCGTTTCCAAGCAGCTGTTGGCCGTGCTGCGTGAGCAGACCCTCCTGGACGAGGGCATAGCTGCAGGCAATGAGCGCTATTGCTGCTTCGAGAGCGTTGTCCAAAACTACACCAAGATCTATGCAGCTCGGCGGTTTATGGAGCAACTGCCTGCTTTGGGGCAGGGGGAGGTGATGCCCCAGGTGGCCGCCAACGAGGTGCTGCAGATACCCGAACTGCTGCGCCAGCTTTGGGCCTCCCTGGACAAGATGGAGTTCTTCAACGAGGACAGTGCTTTCAAGGCTTATTTGGAGGCACGTCATCATCCGCAGGCGCAGATTCTAAGCGAGCTCCTGCTGACGCGCATCTCGCGTGTCTTCCTATGCATTGTCAGCTCCACGATGTTCCTGGAGTTTAGCGAGCACGAGCTGCTGCACATTCTGCGCAACTGCTACCTTAGCGTCAACTCGGAGATCGAGGTGAGTGTCTCCCATATCCTGGTGTATCCTTGTGCTCAAATGAGAGCTCTCCCCCGCAGATCTTCCTCGCCATGGTCCTCTGGATGGAGCACAACTGGACAGAGTCGGACAACTGTGCTGAACGTCTGCTATCCGAGGTGCGCTTCGGCCTGATGCCCACATGGTATCTCACTACCATGGCCAAGGCCAATCATTGCCAGCACTTTGGCCGGGTGATTAGCAGTCCCAGGGTGCAGCGCATGATAGACCAGGGATTGGAGTGAGTTCAAGGGTGATTAATTAACAGAAAGATGTTAAGTTTGTGTCCTCCACAGGGAAGCCATCACCCTGAAGAAGAAGCCACGCTTTGCCACTGCAGCTGGCGGTAAAGGGCAGTCGCTTTTAGAGGAGACCCACTTGCCGCGCGACTGGATTGTCGATATTGAGTGCCGCCACCATCACAAGTGCCACTGCCGTTACTTTGTTTACCCCACCTACGATGTCTTCAAGAGCAACCTGGCCAGGATCATTTGCCGCTCGCCCAGCTACTGGCAGACCTTTCGTCCCGCCCAGGAGGTATATCGCAGCGAATTCCGCTGCTGCTCCTCGCCCCACTTTCATTAGTTTGAATCCCGTGGGCATCGTTGCTGCCTGCTGCTGCAGTCTGGCGTAGATGCAGTTCCTCCCCTCCCTAAAAAATGAATCAAATTTTATTCAGCTGATCAGGCGATCCTTGGCAGCACAATCATTGACTTACTGGCAAACCTGTGCATATGCAAAGAATGTCTTTTTTAGAACACTTTTTATGTCTTTATTAAAAGTAACTCTGGTTGTGCCGAGTCTTTGAATCGCGCCATTGGGACTGTTATTGGGTGGGAGGGGTGTTTGGGGTGTTGTTTGGGGAAAATCTAACTGTTTTGAATGTAAAATCTAAATTTTTTTCTGATTTTTTAAAATTTTTTTTCGAATTTTTTATAATTTTTCCGCAATTTTAATTTTTTTTCTATATTTTAAAGATTTTTCTGAATTTTTAAAATTTTTTTCAGATTTTTTAGAATTTTTTTTTTCATTTTTTTAGATATTTTAAAATATTTTAACTGCCAAATTTGAATTTGAATTGGCTACTCTGTTCTGAGCAGCCTGGATTCTCCAAAAATATAAAGTAAGGTATACTTTTGGGCGGGGATGAATGCAGGTCCACGTATTTGCCTACTTTTAGGCATTTTAAAATATAAGTTGGTCATTTTTGTTGCATCTTTTGCGCTGAATTTTTATGTCTTTGATTAAAATATAAAGTAAGACATACTTTTGGGCGGGCATGAATGCAACTCCATTTTCACAGTTTGACAAGCACTGGTCTAAGGAAGTTGCAAACTTTTACAGTTTGACAAGCACTGGACCAAGTGAGATTCGATTTTTACAGTTTTAGAGCCACTGGACAGAAACTCCACTTTTGACGCCCAAAAGGGAGTTTCTGACCAGTGCTTGTCAAACTGTAAAAATTGAATCTCACTTGGACCAGTGCTTGTCAAACTGTAATTTGAACCTCCGCCTAAAAGATGCCACATTTTTAATAGAAATCCCCAAAAGTATGCTTTATTTTTTCAATTTTGCAATTTTCACTGCAGGGCGGTACACAAAATAGCTCATAACTCGGCCAAAAATGCATGAATTCAATTTGGAAAGCTGTTCTGAGCCTTTTCTATGCTTAATCTTGCAATATTTGCAGAAAAATTCATCTTACGTTCCATCCGTGATGCCCACCCAGCTATACAATAAAAAAATAAATAAATACAGTATAATGGGAATACTTTCCACCATATTTATTCAATTTTCATAAATAAAATAAATAAAATTGTACAAAAATCGTAAAAAATAGTAATAATGTACAGTAAGGCTGGCAAGGATCCCTCGGAGAAGCCACTGCTGGCCTGCAGCCCTGCTCCGCCGCAGCCGTAGCCGCAGCAGCCGTAGCCGCAGCAGCCGTAGCCGCAGCAGCCGTAGCCGCCGCAGCCGTAGCCGTAGCCGCAGCAGCCGTAGACGCCGTAGCCGCCGCAGCAGCCGTAGCCGCCGGGGCAGCCGCCTTGCTCCACCGCAGCCGGCGCAGCCGTAGCCGTAGCCGCCGCAGCCGCCCTGCTCCACCGCCGCCGCCGCCTACCTGCTCCTGCTCCTGCAGCATCCCTGCTCCGCCGCCGCTGCCCTGCTCCAGCTCCTGCAGCAGCCCTGCTCCAGCTCCTGCAGCAGCCCTGCTCCTGCTCCTGCAGCAGCCCTGCTCCTGCTCTTGCAGCAGCCCTGCTCCTGCAGCAGCCCTGCTCCTGCTCCTGCAGCAGCCCTGCTCCAGCTCCTGCAGCAGCCCTGCTCCAGCTCCTGCAGCAGCCCTGTTCCTGCTCCTGCAGCATCCCTGCTCCGCCGCCGCTGCCCTGCTCCAGCTCCTGCAGCAGCCCTGCTCCTGCTCCTGCAGCAGCCCTGCTCCTGCTCCTGCAGCAAGCCTGCTCCTGCTCCTGCAGCAGCCCTGCTCCTGCTCCTGCAGCAGCCCTGCTCCTGCTCCTGCAGCCCTGCTCCTGCTCCTGCAGCAGCCCTGCTCCGCCGCACTAGCCGCCCAGCTCCTCCGCAGGCTGGAGCTGGCGGCTGGCGAGGGTCCCTCTGAGAAGCGCCTGCTGGCAGCAGGCTGGAGCCGGCGGCTGGCGAGGATCCCTCGGAGAAGCGCCTGCTGGCAGCAGGCTGGAGCCGGCGGCTGGCGAGGATCCCTCGGAGAAGCGCCTGCTGGCAGCAGGCTGGAGCCGGCGGCTGGCGAGCAGGCTGGAGCCGGCGGCTGGCGAGGATCCCTCTGAGAAGCGCCTGCTGGCAGCAGGCTGGAGACGGCGGCTTGCGAGGATCCCTCGGAGAAGCGCCTGCTGGCAGCAGGCTGGAGCCGGCGGCTGGCGAGGATCCCTCGGAGAAGTGCCTGCTGGTAGCAGGCTGGAGCCGGCGGCTGGCGAGGATCCCTCGGAGAAGCGCCTGCTGGCAGCAGGCTGGAGCCGGCGGCTGGCGAGGATCCCTCGGAGAAGCGCCTGCTGGCAGCAGGCTGGAGCCGGCGGCTGGCGAGGATCCCTCGGAGAAGCGCCTGCTGGCAGCAGGCGGCGGCTGGCGAGGATCCCTCGGAGGAGCTACTGCTGGCAGCAGGCTGGAGCCGGCGGCTGGCGAGGATCCCTCGGAGGAGCCACTGCAGGCTGGCTTGCTGCAATTAAATTTTGAAATAAAATAAATACATTAATTAAGAAAGTAAATAAATAAATAAATGAATAAATAAAATAATAAATAAATAAAGAAATGGGTAAATAAACACAGGAGAAAATAATATATAAAAATATAAAAAAAAAAATAAATAAATAAATTCTGGTTGGAAAATTATCATTAATATATATATTCTTGATCAGCATTAACAGGCGAATCTTTTAAGACATGTCCGGGCAAAATTTTTTTTCGAGCCATTTTTTCAATTTTTTATAAGGGGTTACATCTAGAGGTTTACGCCGATGGTTAAAGACTTCGGCGGCGGCGTAGAGGTCAAAATGACTCGGCGGCGGCGGCGTAGTAGTCAGAAAGAATCGGCGGCGGCGGCGTACAGATTTTTTCAAATTAAATAAAATTAGTATTATTGTATTATATCAGTTTATAACGCCTTTATTAACAATAACAATAAAATGAACATAAGTGAGTAAATTAATTGGGTAAATGAAATGAAAATAAATAAAAATTAAGTAACAAATAAAAATAAACATAAAAATAGCAGTCTTTTTCCTTGACTTGAATAAGTTTCATTCATAATTCACATAATTAATGTTCAGTTTTCAATTCAGTTCATTTTTATCTCTTCAATTTGTAAATTTAAGTTAAACTTTCTTTGCAAGTGTCGTAATTGTCATGTATAAAAATTACTTTATTTACGTTGTGAGGACTGAGCTGCGACCGTTTCTGCGTAATTGTAAGACCAGCAATAGAAAAAACTCGCTCACTTGGAGTGCTCGTTGCAGGAATACACAACACTTTTTGTGCCAGCATCGAAAGTAAGGGCATTGCAGGTGCCTTTTCCTTCCAAAATGTCAATACGTCTTGACATGAAGATAAGCTTAGGAGTAGATGGCATTCAGCTTCCAAATTGTTATCTTTGGTATTGGTCGAATGCCGTTGAGCAAGCTTTAAGATTTTGCTTGCAGAATGAGACTCTTGCTGCTGATCGCTATCTTGTTCAACATCTCCAATCAGCTCTTTAAACATTTTTAACAAAAAATCGTTTCTTTTTAAACTTTGTTTCTCGCAATACTCCAACACACAATCAAGTGAGTTGAATCGCGGATCTAATAGGGATGCGCAGACTAGTATATCCGATATCGGGAACCTTGAATCAAATCTATTTTTTATATGGCTTTTCATGAGAGTCAAAGCAAGCGGCTCATTGTTCTCAGGTTCTTCCAATATTGAGACGATTTCAGTTCTTATCACTAACGCAAGACTTATTGATGGATACAAATCTCCAGACAAAACGGTAACTGCATCTTTAAATTTTTTTAAGAAGTCGCATAATTTATATAAAAGCTGTGCTTCATTTTCTAATAATATTAAATGAGTCTTATTGCTGCTTGTGAGCAACTTATTTAATGCGGCTCTTTGGCACCCAAGACTGTCTAACATTGTTAACACGCTGTGCCACCTTGTTGGGACCGAGTTCTTAAGTGAAACATTTCTCTTGTCCACCAAACTACTTTGTAAGTCATTAGGGTTGTTAATATTCTTGTAAGTTTGCAAGGGAACATCATCTAACGGGCCAAAATCATCATCGTAGTCGACCCATTCATTATCTTCGGATGCCAGCAGTTCTTCTAAATTGTCGATATTTGACAAAACTTCCTTTTGAAGTTCGTCAGCTTGACATCTCAAAACATGTGTCTTGAATCGTAAGGCACTCACAATATTTTTGCACTTCACAATCAAATTTTTAATTTCCGGCTCTGAATTGTAACCATCAACATTTAGCAAATTATGTAGTCCATGTCCAAGGCAGAAGTGGTTTTTTATACACCCCAAATTAATAGCTTTTTTGATATTGCTGCCTTGGTCGGTTACGACATAATTAGATCCCATTTGCAAATTATACATTTGAGTAACTTCTTCCACCTCTGTTAAAATGTTACTTGCCGTGTGCGATTTTGACAAATATTTTGTTTCCAGCGTTAAATGCTTCATCTCAAAATTCGCTGACAGAAAATGGAAGGTGAACGTTATATAACTTCTTCTTCTATAGTTATCTGTCCACAAGTCGAAAGTTAAGGCAAAATGTTTTTGTCCAGATACTATCCGTGTAACTGCTCGTAAAATGCATTCATACACATCGTCTAGTGCAGTTGTTGACAGCGTTTTGTAGTGTGGAATGTCAGCATCAGTTGCCACAACTCTATATTTTTTTAAAAAGTCTTTAAGTCCACTGTGACAAATTATATGAAATGGTAGCAAATCTCTAGCCATCCACAAAGCTAGCTCTCGTCCCAGCGCCCACTTACTATCTTTTGGAGATATAATTGGCGTCGATTTTTTTGAAAAAATTTGATATTGATCCACGTGTAGCCAATGAAGTACTCGGACTGTCGATATCTCGAATGTTGTGTTCATTTTTGAGGTGTCGACTTAAATTCCCTGTGGAACAGTTCGTGGAATACGACTGAATTTTAGCACTGAAACAATTTACAAAATCTTACTTGAATCTTAAAAAAAGGAACTTAATTATTACCATGAAAAGATTGTTCTTTCGTCGTCTTTTTTCTGAACATCCAAACATAATCGGCAGAACACCTTGTCCACTTCAATGCAGTTGTTCTCTAATTGCAATGCGCCGAAAAACTCCCACACTTTGCTCTTTCGATTTGAGTAATGGTTGTGTTTAATTGAGTACATACTCAATGGCTGATCCATCTATTTGTTTAGAGAATATTTAATTAATACATATGTTCCTAACACTAGTAATAGTATTTTAAAACTTACTTTGCATATTTACGCACAAAAAACACAGCTTTAGAAAGTAAACCACACCAAATAGCTGTTCTAGAGATGGGACATAGGGAGATGGGAGATGAGACAATCCTAACGATTAATCGATTATTTATATCGAGTATTTGGCCATTTGTATGATTTATTTATTTTTGTTTTTAAGTTATATTAAGAATAATATCACCGAAGGCCGCGCCGGTGCTACGCCGGTGCCGCACCAGCGGCGCGCCGCGGCGCGCCGTTTTTTTCATAATTCGGCGGCGGCGCGTCAAATAAGGCAAAAATCGGCGGCGGCGGCGGCGTGGCGCGGCGGCGTATATGTCTAGTTACATCATTAAAATTCTCGAAAATTGGCCAAAAATTGAATTTTTAAAAAACAAAAAGGGAGTATGCAGATTTGTTAAACGTATAAAAACTAACACAAAACCGTTTTCCGAATTGAATTTAAAGCATTTTTGGCTTAGTTATGGATTTTTTTAAATTACGATTTCCTCCCAAAATAAAAAAATTTAAAAATGAATTGTTGGTTTATTTTTAGGAATTTTGTAAGTTTTGTTTATTAGAAATAAATAAAAAATATATATAATATTATAGGTAAATGTTTACCTGTTATTTTATATAATTTGTTTATTTATTTATTTCTAAAAAAGTGCATAGACTTATAGGCAAATATTTACCTATAATTTTATATAATTTTTGGAAAAAAAATCAAATCTTAAAAAATCCATAACTAAGCAAAAAAGGCATTATTATATATGAACAAGTGCCTCATTTTTCTTTTGATTATTTTTGGTAAAATATTAAAATTTAAAAAATCTATAACTTAGCTAAAAACTTTCCCAAAAAACGTTTTTTCCTCTCCAGTTAATCACCAAAAATGTATGATATTTGATCTTAAATACGTACCGGTTTCTCCGCTCCCCTCCTACTCCCCTTTCGATCCGCTGGCCATGCTGGACTCGCTCATGTGGAACTGAATGAGGATGATCAGGTACGTGGTGGTGGCGCCCACAATCTGCAGGAGTTTTGTGTATGTATAGGATTAGCTTTCTGCGTTCCGAACGAACCTAAGGAGCACACACACTTACCGTGTAAAGAAGCGTGCAGTCGACGTTGAAGAAACCGGCGGCACTGAAGTGAAGTCGCTGATGGAGCAGCTGCAGCGAGAACTGGGTGATCTGGCCAAAGGAAAAGCTATAAAATTTATACATTTCGATGAAAAAACAAACTCACCAGAGCGTTGTGGCTATCATTACGCAGATCCACGCTCACCTGGTGCAGGCTCAAGGCCAAGCGAGTGGCCTGCAAAGAGAGGAGGGTAGGATGAGGTTAGAAGGGTAAGAGAAGGCTATCCCGTGTCTATACTTACACACTGAGCTGTTCGGTCACACAGCAGCGACAGGACCAGCACGTTGGCCAAATGTGGTGCCGACCACACGGCGCTGGCCACGATCTGCAGAATGTCCAGGGCCGAGGCAGCCGACTGGCGAAAGTTCAAAAACATCCAGTAGCAATTGGAGGTGATGGCCAGGAAATCGTTGCCCACCTGCATCAGCATGGAGAGGCCGTAGCATCTGTTTAGCAAAGCCACCAGGGCCCAGACCCGTTGGTAGACCACTCGCACGGCCATCAGACGTTCCACGGCAGCCTGCTCCGGGTCACAGCAATCCTCCTCTGGCTCTGGATGATCTGTCGTAGCCTCTGCGGATTTCTGGCTCAGCTGCAGCTGCTGCAGGGCTAGCAGGAGTATGTCCAGACGGCGACGCACAATTTGGACGGCGGTGAAGATCTGAAAGTAGCGCAAACCACAAACCACCAACGGCAGCAGGTAGTAGATCCAGTACATGGGGAACCGGTGCTCCGGGTCCAAGTGCTTGGCTCCCAAAATCAAACTCTGGCTGAGCGCATAGCCCCACATGAACCACATGGCACGGCGTGTCGTCTGTTGGCGCATCTCTAGTACTCCACCCGCCATGTCCACTCGCAAGGCCTTGGCCAGCTGGCGATCAATCTCACCCAGCTCGGCGTAAAAGTCACGCTGCAATCGCCGCTGCCACAGGGTCTCCAGCAGAGCGGCCATATGAGCCACCCGCATGCCCACCAGTTGGATAAAGTCCACGGTGTGTCCAATGCTCGTGATGCTTGTATCGTCGCCGCCCACTGCCACCTGGATGCTGCTCTCCTGGAAAAGCCCATAGGCAGTGAATCCGGTGGCTGCCGCCAGCACACTCCAGCCGTATAGCTCCAGCCAGCGGGATCGTTGGAGGTGTAAACCCTGCGTGTCTGGGGGTGAAACCAGGTGCCAGTGCCACAGATTGCACACTTGACAGACGCGATGCAGTGGCTCCAGTGCTTTCAGCGTGTCCATGCCGTATGGTTAGGGTTTGGATATGGTTTTGCACACTCTCTCTCTCTGGCGGTATCTGTGGGTTCGATATCAATTCGATTAGTGTTATCTCTGGTCTTGTTCCGCTAATGAAACTACCAGTGGGTTGACCTTGCTCTGGAAAGAAACCAACTTACCGGTAACAACCGCTCGCTTGGAGATTCCTTAATGCAGTGAAGGATTAGCCAGGGATCAGCAGGCTGCCCAGCGGGGTTCTAAGTACGTCTCATCCATCATTATATCCATTAAGCCATCAGTAGACGGCGGCCATCAATCATGGTGGCTCAACAAGGGTGGTGGGGAGTGGGTCCAAGCTGAAATTAGCGCCTGGTTACCGGGAACCTAGAACCTAGAACCTGTAGGGACCCAGAAAAGGCACCTCTTGGAGGGGCAATCATCACAAGACACCGACGGGGACTTCACATAAATACGTTTATTATAATTTTCAGATTTTTGGTTTTTCTTAGTTTTTTTTTTCGTTTTTGTTTTGTTTTTTGAAATAGTTGAGATAAGCTTGACGTTCATAAAATGTAATACATATATATATCGATTTCTTTGCCTGCCCGTTCTTCGGCTAACCTCTCTTTCTCTCTCTGTATCTCTGTCTTTCTCTGTGTCTCTCTCTGACCTTTATCGATTATCGATATCATTTTTTGTGCTGGGAGGTAGCTCTTTCGCTCCTCCCACTCCTCCACTCCTACCACTCCTGTCACTCCTCCCACTCCTCGACTCCTACCACTCCTACCTCTTCTCCTTTCCGCCGACTCATTCCTGGGTATATAGGCTATATATGGCTACGGATATATCCTATGCATACCATCGGCCATCGGTAAGGTTAGCGTTGTTGTAACAATTTACTCTGCATGCACTTTTTTTGTTTTAATTTTCTTTTTTTTGCTGTTACTAATGATTATATAGAGCACACGGATCACACACACATACACGCACAGCTGCACTGTATAGTTTGTCGATTGTATATATCGATTTGTATCGATTATTGGTCTCTCTCTCTCAGCTGTGTGTGTGTGTGTGTGCGAGCCCGGTCGCATAGTATGTATATTTGATTTAAATCGAAGCTGCTAAAAAGTAAAAGCAAATTCAACAAACAAACGCTCGTACAGGCTCGATATACGATCGATATATATCGATACATTGATTCTTACGCTAGTTATATAAGGTATGGATGCAGATATCGTTTGTTCTCTGGATAATAAGGCAATGGATGCATGTCTTGTGTGTGTGTGTTTTGTGAGTGTGGTTAGTATCTGGATCTCTGAACCGATCTGATCGATCGGTTTGGGATCTCTCTCAACGAAACTACATTGAAAAAAAAAAACAACAAAAAACAAAAAACGGGGCAAAAGTTAACAAGTTTCATATTTCATAATCTTTTTGTTTTTCTTTTAAGGGGAAATTCGTTTCATGAAAGGCAAAAATGATCTTCTTCGCGGTGAGAAGAGTGTTCTTTTTTTTAGCGGATTTTTCGCACTTTTTTGTTTTGTTTTTTTTTTATGTTTAAGCAACATCAATACGCTCAAGTACATATATATATGCATGTATATATAGATATATAGTGTATATAGTTCACGTGTGAGTGTGTGTGTTTGTGGGTGTGGAGTATTCTTTAACTATATATCGCTTGTTTTCTTTTCCTTTTTTCTTAGTTTTGTTTCTCGCTTAGCGCACGAATTTTGAAAAATAATTAAATATACGTAATAAAATGTATGCTTTTTTCTGTGTGTTTTTATATTTTCTTAATCCTTTTGTTGTTTTTTTGCTTTCTTGGTTATTACTTTTTAAAAATCCTCGAAGCGGAGACTGCAATATGCTTTTTAGCTGCTTTTTGTTTGCTTTTGCTTTTGCTTTTTGTTTTGGTAATCAAAAGATCTTTCTTTTTGGATCATCGGTATCAATTACGGAACGGGGAATCATTTTTGGGGGGGAGATCCAGGATGGTTTTGTGTATAATTTCGCTTAAATTTCGCTGGTTCGCTTAGCTTCTTATGTTTTTTTTTGTTGTGGTTATCAAACGCTTTGTAGACTCTGGACGGTTTGCCAGTGTTGTTGTCAGTTGTCAGTTATCAGTTGCCCGCTAATCTCCTCCCGAATTTGGATTGGTTGCTGCTCTGTTTGCACATATCATAATTAATACAAGATATTTATGTATATAAAAAGCAACACAAAAATATATATACGCATAGCCTACAAAAAAGTCTGCCGAGTCTTCTCTTTATGTCTTTGTTTTTGTTTTTGTTTTGTTTTTATAATTGTAACTGGCTCGTTTTCTTTTTTATTTTAACTTTTGGACTGTTTTCTTTTAAGTGGCCTCGAATTGCTTGTTCCGTTTTTTTAATATATTTTTTGTGATTAAAATTGTTTATATCCTGGTTCTTCTCATCTGCTCACTTGCTCCGTCTGCTGCCTCTCGGTTTAGTTTGTTTTTTGTTTGTTTGTTTGTTTTTGTTTTTGTTTGTTTGCAAATTTGTTATTCTATGACTATGAAAAAGTAAAAAAAATATAGAAAAATAACCTTCATACATTCACTTTGTGTGTACCTTCTTCTTTCTTCATATTTTAATCGTATTATAGTTATGACTCTCTGCTCTCACGTCTTTTGCTTTTTTGTCTCACAAATAGCTGTCTCCCAACATTGCCCAAAAAAACACCAACCTTAAAAAACCAACCCCAAGCCCCAAGCCCCCAATCACAAGCCCCCCCACTTTCTAGTCCCCCTTGTATCCTGTAGCCTTATATAGTATCATCAGCATTGACTATGTCTTTGTCTTTGTCTTCCTCTTCGTCGTTGTCATCATCCTTCCACGACTCATCCTCTTTCCAAGCTTCCGTCATCAGCAACAGCAATCGATTGCCCCTTCTAGTCCCATTCTCCTAGTTTCATTCTTGCTCTTTCTGCTTTCCCTGATCTTTCTATTTCTTCAGCTTTTTCTGCTCTTCTCTATTCTCCCTGCTCCTTTTGCTTCTTCTGCTCTTCCTGCTCTATTCTACTTTTCCTGCTCTTTTTGCTCTTTCTGTTCTCTTTGCTCATTCTGCTCTCTTTGCTCTTTCAGCTCCTTTTACCCTTTCTATTCTTCCTACTCCGTTTACTCTTTCTGATCTACTCTACTCTTCCTGCTCATCGAGCTCTTCCTGCTCTTCCTGTTCTTCCTGTTCTTCCTGTTCTTCCTGCTCTTCTTGTCTTCTCTACTTTCCCTACCCATCATCTTTCTTAGCCTTCAGCTCCCTATTCTGGAAGTGTACGTATATCGTTTTGCTATATAGAGCTGTCCTTTTTTTATTTTGGGTTCAAGCAAAGACACTATAGACACAACAAGATGTGTAACGGCCATAGGATTTTTTTAACTCCAAATTTCTCTTTTCAAATTTCATTGAATTATTTTATTCTTGTGGCCAGAGCGTTACATATCTTGAATTCTATATAGGATCTTTGGTTTAAGTCTTTCTTAAACTCTTAACAAAAAACAAAACAAAAAAAATAAGAAAGGGATTAAAAATAAAGTCTAAATAAAAAACGTAAGGCAATTGGTTAACGGAGAAACTGGTTTGTGGTTATTGGTTTATATTCGGGAATCATCGGGTTGGATTATGGGCTCTGCTCAAGGGTTCAAAATCGTAATCATTGTCGCGGGGGTTTGATTAAGTTTTGTTTCGATCCTTAATGGGATCTCTTCCTGCCTCTGCTCGGTGTGTATCCTAAATAACTACATAGCGCTCGCTCTATCTCTCTTCCTTTCTCTTTGACTTGGTTTAGTTAATGTTTCTTTCTCGTTTTGCATTTAAAATTCAAAAATACCTCGTAAAAGTTTAAAGACTAATACATTTTAAACATGAATATTAATTGTTTATACTTTTACTTTGACTTTCTTTTAGTTTTCTTTAAATATATATATATAATATATTGAGTTTTTTTGTTGACTTTACTTTACTTTATTTACTTTTCTTTGGGTTTCTTTAGTTTCCTTTACTCTTCCTTTATTTTTTCTTTGCGTTTTTTTTACTTTTCTTTACTTTGTCTTTACTTTTCTTTACTTTTTCTTTAGTTTTCTTGTCTTTTCTTTGGTTTTCTTTGTTTGTCTTCTTCCTGACTCTTCTTCTTCTTCTTTGTTCTCTTTGTGTCTTTTCTTTGGTTTTCGCTTTTTGCTTTGTATATTTTTGCTATTTTTGATCTTTGGTTTAATAGACAAAGGTAGCGCTTGACTGGCGGTAAGGTGCTTTTGTTTTCTTTTCTCTCTTTTGTTTTTGTTGTTCTTTTTGTAATTAATTTCTTAAAAATAAATAATGAATTAATTACTTAGCTTTTTTTTTGGTATTAAGCGCGGCGTAAGCTCCATATATTGACGGCGTTTAATGGCTAACAAAGTGGCGTCAATTGCGTGACCCCGGTGACTCCGCCATATATCAGCTTTGCGTCCATCTGCTTATATCCTTCGCCGCTCTGTCATGCTGCTCCTTGCTACTGCTCCTGCCTCCTTCCATTGCTGTTGCTGCCTGCCAGAGCTCTCAGAGTCCCCTTTGAACTTTAAAAGCTCCACAAGGACTCCAAGTCTCTGGCAGAGCTCTCCTCCTCCTCACTCGGCTAACTCCTCTACTCCTCCTAGTCGTGGTTGGGTGCATGGTGTTGGTTTCTCGGTTTTCGGTTGGCTCTCACCTCCTCCTCAGGCATCGTCGAAGGCTATAAAGAGGCCCGGTGTCGTGGCCTAGAACTCCAGGCGATAGGCTGAACAGGAGGTCTCATGATCCTGCAGATTGATGGTGCAACGCGAGGCGGAGGGCGAGAGGTCGATGCGGTGCTTGGCTAGCAGCTCCTCGTTTTCGGCCACCCAATAACCCAAGACATCCGTGTCGTATGTGGGTATAATGGTGACCTCTGTTAGGAGAAAAAGAGAGAAAAAGAATGAATATAAATAGCTAATCCTGGCAAGCTTTCCTTCCCCCCAAACAGATACTCACCCAACTCTTTGTCCTCCCATGTCTGCTTGGCCTCGAGCAATGCATCATATACCTGGCGACTGGGCTCCGTGCCGGAGAAGACATAGTAGCGGGCACGCACCCGCTTGAAGAAGTCCACATGGGCATAGTAGGAGTTGCCATTGTGCGGGACATAGGTGAGATCCACGTAGACGGGCGCCGGCTTCTTAACATTCGCCTTGTTCGGCGACTCGCTGCGCTTGCGGAGATTCTTCTCGTTGTTCAGACGCGTCTTGGTGGCCACCATTCGGCGCTCCTTCTTGGGCGTGGTCCGTATATCGGATGAACCGCCCTCCACGGGCAGGGGGGCGGGCGAGGGCAGACCCAAAGGTTTGCCCCACTCCTCCAAACGGTCCTTGGGCAGGGCTCCCGTGGAGGAGGAGGTGGAGGATGTGGAACTCGTTGTGGTTGCGGTTGTGACTGGAGTTTCCTGTGGCTTCTCCTGCTTCTCCTCCTGCTGTCCCACAGTGCCGAAACCCGTCTCGGCCACACGCATTCGCTGGACATCACTCAGGGGGAAACGCTGACGCTCTGAGGAGCCACTGACCATCTGCTGCTCCACTTCGTCGGCCTTGGAGGGCGAATACGAGTATTTGGCGGTGACGGAAGACATGACCTCGGCCCCGCGCGCCTGCACATGCTCCTCGAGGGCCCGCTGGAAGTCCTTGTCCGCCTGGTCGAGGAACTTGTGTCCGGCCCAGGTCTGTTGGCTGCTGCTCTCCAGGCTCTCCGATGACTGGCTGTCGGTTCCTCCCTGTATGGGCACTGGAATGGGTTCTGTGGTGGCCAGTGGTGGAGGTGCAGCAGCAGCAACAAAACCATCGTCCTGGGGCAGGGCACCGTAGAAGGAGGTGGCCATGGGATCGGCCGTGCGTGGCAGCATCATGATGGAACGCGCCGTCGAGTGCTCCTCGCTGCCATACTGCGGCGGAATGTCATCCTGGCTCTCGTCACCATCCTCGGCATCCAGATCGGAGCGCTTGCTTACCCCGGAGCTCGAGTGCTGGAGCTCGTAGCTGGTGGCGCTGCGCGGGGATCCAGGCAGGAGGAGATCGTCGTCATCCTCGCTGCCCGGAGTGCTGGAGCGATAGAGGCTGCCGCGCAAAAGGGTCACCTCCTTGGGTAGCAGCTGCTGCTGCTGGTCACGTTCGCTCTCGCTGGTGGTGCGCGTGGTGGTCACCATGGTCACCTTCTCGCTGTCCGGCTCCGAGCTGTCCGTGGTGGTGACCGTCTTTTGCTCGGTTACAATCTCCTTGCCGTCGGCGGATATCACCTTGGTCACCGTGGTGATGGTCGTGGTGATGATCTTCTCCGTGCTGCCGCTCAGAGCGGTGGTGCTCTCGATGCCACGCAGCTCATGAAGCTCGGGCAGATCGACTTCGATTTCGGCTCCACTGGCTCCTGTCAGGATCTGCTCCTGCTGCTGCTGCAGCTCTAGGGATTTGAGCTCATCCTTGGTGACACGCGGAAAGGGTGATGTGGGCTTGGGCGAGGACTCTGGAGTCTCGGTGTGCGATTCCCGGCCCAGAGGCGTGGGTATAGACTGACTCTCCGAGGTGAGGGCACCGGGACTGGATTTGCCGCTAATGTCCTTCGGCGACAGGGGACCCGAGGGACACGAGGAGGAGACAATGCTGGCGGCACTCGACTCGCACTTGACTCCAGCTCCAGCTGAAGCTGGTGATGCTCCTGCTCCTGCTCCCGCTGCCGTGGTAGACAGGGGCTTGACGCTGGGACTCACAGGAGCCGTGGGCGGCGTCTTGCGGTCAGCAGCCTCGGCCTGATCCTGGCCAGATTGCTGCTCCATCATCTGGGTGAGTGTGATGGACTCCACCTTGGAAGAGGTGGTGGTGGTGGTGGTGGAGGAGGAGGTGGCGGACTCCTCCTTCTTGGAGCTGCTGCTGATGATCTGTTCGCTGGACTGCAGCTGGGTCTTCTGGGTTATCTTCTCCTCCTGCTCGTGCTCCTCCTGGATATCCTCCTCAATCTCCTCTCCCGCCGGCTTGTAGATGCTGGTCATCATGATGGTGGCTATGGACTTGGACCGGCTCTCCTTGACACTGGCCCGCTCATCATCCTCCTCATCGTTGTTGTCGTCGTCGGCGGGCTCCTCATCCTCGGGATCGCTGTGGGTGAGGCGACCCTCGCTGGCATGGCTCAGCAGGGACTCGCGACGAGACTCATCTGTGCCCACGAAGAGAGCCCGCTGGGAGGTAGTAGCACTGCTGGCGCTGGCCTTCTTCAGGCACTCCTCGGCCGTCTTGGTGGCCTCGGCGCTGAAGGTCTCCTTGGCGGAGACTATCTTCTCGGTGGCCAGGAACTCGGCCACGGTCTCCTTGAGGTTTTCATCACGAATGGAGCTGCTGCTGCTAGTGGTGGTGGCGGTGGTCTCCTTGGCCTCCTTGGCTGTCTTCTGGGCAGCTGCCGTGCTGGTCGTCTGAATCTCGCTGACAATGGACTCGGAGGAGCACTCCTCGGACTGCACCAGCAGCTCCTCCAGCTGGGACATGGATGTGCTAGTCGTGGTGGTGGTGTCCTCCTTGAGGCCTACCTTCTCGGTCAGCAGGCTGGATAGGGATTCCCGGCGAGAGCTGTCCTCCACCTTGAGGCTGCTGCTCAGCGAGTCACTGGTGGTGGACTCCTCGCTGCGCAGCTGAAGCACCGATGACTTGGTCACCGTACTGGACACAGACTCCACACTGGATTTGGATTTTTCCTCTAGCTTTTTGGACTCTGAGGTCTCCGTGGTCTCTGTGGTGGTGGTGGTGGTGGAAGAGGTTGAGCGGAGCAGCGATTCGAGAGCATCTATAGTCTCCTCGGCGGCAGACTGGGTTGTCTTGGTCTCCAGCTTCTCTTCCTTCTCCAATTTCTCACTCTTTTCGGACTGGCGGGTCTCCTGCTTCTCCTGCTCCTCCTCCTCCTCCTCCTCCTCTTGCTGGGAGATGGAAGTGGTGCCCAAACCCAGTTCCTGCTGCAATTGTGCCTTCTCCGACTGCTCAATTTTGTCCTTTTCCTCAATGGAAATGGGGCCAGATTTTTGGTCTGGCGAGGACTTCTCCGACTCAATCTCCACCTTCATCAAGCCCATCTCCAGGTGATCCTCGGCCTCGCTGGTCTTCAGCTTCTCCTCCAGCTGGCGCTCATCAAAGTCGGGTATAATGTCGGTGATGTCCTTGTCGGATTTCAAAACCTTGGCCACATCGGCCACAATCTTGGCCACCTCCTCCTCGCGCGGCGATAGCGGACGAATGGGCTGGGAGGGAATCATAGAACCAGGCTTATCGCTGGGTGGCGAAAAGCGATGCTCCTCATCGTCCTCCTCCTTGATGTCATGGAGCACGGGCTCATCACGCTCGCAAATCGTAACGGTGAACTCTGGAGAGCCCACGGTGGTGATGTGAGTCTCGCGCAGCTCGGAGAAGGTGCCCAGCTCTAGATTGGTCTCCGTGGTGGCGGAAGAGGAAGAGCTCTCGCTCAGTTTGGTTACCTGCTCTGTGGTGGTCTCCGTTTTCTCGGTCTTTCCGGTTATCTTCTCGGTCACCTCCTGCACCTTCTTTTCGGCGGAGTCCACTGCGGTGGTGAGCAGGCTGGTCACGCTGCTGATCTTGGTGTCCAGCGCGGACTGGAGCTCTGTGAGCTGTTGGGTGCTCTCCTTGCTTACCTGCTCCAGGGTCTCGGCCACGGTGCTCTCCACCTTTTTCACGGAGCTCTCCACCTTCTCCTCCACCTGCTTCACGGAGCTCTCCAGCTTGTCCACTTTCTCCTCCATCTTGGTGGATATGGTCTCGAAGAGAGATGACTCCTGCTTGGACTCCTGCTTAGACTCCTGCTTGGACTCCTGTTTAGATTCCTCCTTGGTCTCCTCTTTGGTCTCCTCTTTGGTCTCCTCCTTGGTCTCCTCCTTAGTCTCCTGCATGATCTCCTCTTTGGTCTCCTCGAGACCCAGCAGGTCGGCCACTTCCTCAGCCTTTTCGCTGGCTTCCAGAAGAGGTGAGGCCTCGTCCACGGGACTGGAAGCTGTGTGCGCTGCAGCGGATTGGGCCTGCTCAGCGGGCTTGGCCGGCGAAGACTGTGCAGACTGGGAGGCGGATGACTCAATCTGTGCCTTGGAGAAGTCACCCTCGGCCACGTCGACGGGACTCGAGATGGTTGGGAGCTTGCCCTTGGCCTCGGTGGTTATCTGGCTCAGAGGCAGGCTCAGATCGGCAATAGAGCGTGGGCCTTCTTCGATGGGCGAGGAAGCGGTCTCGGCCACCGAGCCGGGTCGGGATGATTCCTTGGAGGCCACAGCTGGCGACAGCTTCTCCGCCACGGATTCGGGACGCGAAGGAATGGGCGACTTGGCGTCCGCCTTGGTGCTCTCAGCCACGGACTCGCGTCGGGATGCCTCCTCCGCCACGGACACTGGACGGGAAGCCTCCTTGGAGGCCTCTGGGGACTTCTCGTCCTTTGTACTTTCCGCCTTTACACTTTCAGCAAGGGATTCTCGTCGGGAGAGCTCCTTGGACTTGTCCGCATCATCTTTCACGCTTCCAGCCACGGATTCTGGCCGAGAAGCCTCCTTGGATGCAGGTGCAGACTTCTCGTCCTTTGTACTCTCCGCCTTCAGGCTTTCAACCACCGATTCTCGCCGGGAAGGCTCCTTGGACTTCTCGGCCTCGTCCTTGACGCTCTCGACCACAGACTCTGGTCGTGAGGCTTCCCTTGGAGGCCAGCGGAGACTTGGCGTCCTCCTTGGCGCTGTCTGGTTTCACACTCTCGGCCACGGACTCCCGGCGACTCTCTGCCTTTTCAGCCTCGTCCTTGACGCTCTCAGCCACGGATCCTGGCCTGGAGGCTTCCTTGGAAGCAGCTGCAGACTTTTCGTCCTTGGTGCTCTCTGCCTTTACGCTCTCCGCCACCGATTCTCGCCGGGATGCCTCCTTGGACTTGTCAGCTTCGGCGGAGTCACTTTCCGCTACGGATTCTGGCCGGGATGCTTCCTTGGAGGCCAGCGGGGACTTGCCATCCTTCACACTCTCCTCCTTCACACTTTCGGCCACTGATTCTCGCCGGGAAGGCTCCTTGGACTTGTCGGCTTCGTCCTTTGTGCTCTCCGCCTTGGTGCTTTCGGCCACGGATGCGGGACGAGATGCCTCCTTTGACTGAGCAGCGGAATCTTTAACGCTCTCAGCCACGGATTCGGGACGAGAAGCCTCCTTGGATGCGAGTGGAGAGGCTTCTGGCTTGACGCTCTCAGCCACCGATTCCCGGCGAGATGGCTCCTTGGATTTGTCGGCAGCGGCAGCGTCATCCTTGACGGACTCGGCCACGGATTCTGGTCGGGATGCTTCCTTGGAGGCCTGGGCCGACTTCTCGTCCTTGGCGCTGCCCGTCTTGATGCTCTCGGCGACCGATTCCCGACGGCTTTCTGCTGTTTCAGCCTCATCTTTGATGCTCTCCACGAGGGAACCTGGTCTGGAGGGTTCCTTCGATGCAGGGGCTGATTTCTCATCTTTGGTGCTCTCCGCCTTGATGCTCTCTGCCTTCACACTTTCAGCAATTGATTCCCGCCGCGATGGCTCCTTGGACTTGTCAGCATCATCCTTGATGCTTTCGGCTACAGAGGCCGGACGAGATGCTTCCTTGGAGGCCAGCGGAGACTTGTCTTCCTTTGTGCCTTCTGATTTAAGGCTCTCAGCCACGGATCCCCGATGACTGGCAGCCTTTTCGTCCTCGTCCTTGATGCTTCCTGCAACGGATCCAGGACGCGAGGCTTCTTTGGAGGCAGCCAGTGAAGAGGCTTCTTTAGAGATCTCCTCCGCCTTGACACTCTCAGCCACAGATTCGCGACGCGACGGCTCCTTGGACTGCTCCGCGTCATCCTTGACGCTTTCTGCAACAGATGCTGGCCGGGAAGCTTCCTTGGAGGCCAGCGGGGACTTGTCGTCCTTGAGGCTTCCCTGCTTCAGGCTCTCAGCCACTGACTCTCGCCGGCTTTCGGGCTTCTCGTCTTCGTCCTTGTGGCTCTCGATCACGGATGCTGGCCGGGAAGGCTCCTTGGAAGTCGCTAGCGGCGACTTGTCGTCCTTTGTACTCTCCGCCTTGGTGCTCTCTGCCACTGACTCTGGTCGAGATGGCTCCTTGGGCTTGTCCTCTGCCACGGATGCCGGCCGGGAGGCCTCCTTGGAGGCAGGAGCAGACCCTTCGTCCTTTGTACTTTCTGGCTTGACAATCTCTGTTGCGGCCACCGACTCACGACGGCTTTCGTCCTTGATGCTCTCCACCACTGACGCGGGTCTCGAGGCCTCCTTCGAGGCCAGCGGAGACTTGTCTGCCTGCTCAGCCTCATCCTTGAGACTCCCCACTGCAGATGCTGGCCGGGAAGCTTCCTTGGAGGCCATTGGTGACTTGTCATCCTTGACACTCTCCGCCTTGAGGCTTTCGGCTACGGATTCGCGTCGGGATTCCTCTTTGGTTTCTGTAGAAACAGCTGCCAGCACCGAGTCTGGCCGGGATGGTGCCATCGAGGCTTGAGGAGACTCTGCTCCCGGCTTCTCAGTCTCATCCTTCACGCTTTCCACCACTGAGCCCGGTCGGGAGGCTTCCTTGGAGGCCACAGCAGACTTGTCCTCCTTGGCGCTTTCTGCGATGGACTCGCGACGGGATGGCTCCTTGGACTTGTCATCCTTGACACTCTCCGCCACGGATTCGGGTCTGGAGGCAGGACCATCCTTGGCACTCTCAGCCACGGATGCTGGTCGACTCTCCGGCTCTTCAGCTTCATCCTTAAGGCTCTCCGCCACTGATACCGGGCGGGAGGCTTCCTTGGAGGCCACCTTGTCACCCTCATCCTTGTGGCTTTCCGCCACTGAGGCCGGACGAGAGGCTTCCTTGGAGGCCACTGGTGACTTCTCATCCTTTGTGCTATCCGCCTTGAGGCTCTCGGCCACGGACACGGGCCGCGACGGTTCCTTGGACTTTTCGGCTTCGTCCTTGAGGCTTTCTACCACGGATTCGCGTCGGGAAGGTTCCTTTGACTTGTCGTCTGGCTTGACACTTTCAGCCACCGATTCCCGGCGAGATGGCTCCTTGGATTTGTCGGCAGCGGCAGCGTCATCCTTGACGGACTCGGCCGCGGATTCTGGTCGGGATGCTTCCTTCGAGGCCTGGGCAGACTTGTCATCCTTGGCACTTTCTGCCTTTGTACTTTCGGCGATTGATTCGCGGCGCGAGGGCTCCTTGGAGTGGATCACGGAACCGGCTGGCTCCGCCTCATCCTTGGCACTTTCGGCCGGAGATTCGGGTCGCTCCAGGGATGAAACATGAGAACCGATCGGGGACTTGGCTGCCTCGTCCACGGGACTGGAAACAGTGGCCTCAATGTCCACCTTGGACAGCTCTGCTGGTTGCCCAGGGGCTGAAGTGGGCGAGCTTGTAGGCGTGGCCGTCTGGGGGAAGTCGCCATGGGCCACATCCACGGGACTGGACAGAGTCGGGAGGTTGCCCTTCTCCAGCTCAAGGGTCAGCTGTGGGAAGTCCTTTGCCGCTTCCTCGATCGGGGATGAGGCTGTCTCAGCCGCCACCGAGGCGGGACGAGAAGGTTCCTTTGATTCCGGGCGAGAGGCTTCCTTGGACTTGTCTCCTTTGGGACTTTCGGGTCTGGATGCCTCCGTGGAAGCAGGCAGCGAAAACTTTGTATCCTGGACATCAGCACCCTCGGGCTCTGCGGCTTCCTCGGGTGACTCTGGCCGGGATTCGTGCTCCGAGCCGGAGGGAGTCTTTGGTGCCTCGTCGATGGGCGATGAGACTGTGGCGGCGGCCCCAATCTTCGAGAGTTCAGCCGGCTGTGAGGGTAAAGCCACTGCCGCCGAGGAAAGAGGAGCAACGGCCACATGGGAGAAGTCACCCTCGGCCACGTCAACGGGACTCGAGTCCGTGGGCAGCTTTCCTGCCGGCGGCTCTGCCTGTAGGTTGAGCGCCAGGCTAGCTCTCTTCACGACCTCCTCCGCTGGGAACTCCATGGCAGCCTCCTCGATCGGCGAGGATGCGGTCTCGGCCACCGATTCTGGGCGGGATGCCTTGGGCTCCGCCTCGGCATGGTCACTGGCCACGGACAGAGGTCTGGGAGAGGACTCCTTCGAAATAGCTGCCGGCTTTTCAGCCAGGGATTCGCGGCGTGATGGCTCCTTTGACTTGTCGTCCTCCTTGGCTGCCTCCGCCACGGATTCCGGGCGGGATGCTTCCTTCGATGCAGGCGCAGATTTCTCGTCTTTGACGCTGCCCGTCTTGATGCTTTCGGCGACCGATTCACGACGACTTTCGGGCTTCTCGGGCTCATCCTTAAAGCTTTCCACAGCGGATGCCGGGCGGGAAGCCTCCTTGGAGGCCTCTGGGGACTTCTCGTCCTTTGTACTTTCCGCCTTTACACTTTCAGCCAGGGATTCTCGTCGTGAGGGCTCCTTGGACTTGTCCGCTTCATCTTTCACGCTTCCAGCCACGGATTCTGGGCGAGAAGCCTCCTTGGATGCAGGTGCAGACTTCTCGTCCTTTGTACTCTCCGCCTTCAGGCTTTCAACCACCGATTCTCGCCGGGAAGGCTCCTTGGACTTCTCGGCCTCGTCCTTGACGCTCTCGACCACGGACTCTGGTCGTGAGGCTTCCTTGGAGGCCAGCGGAGACTTGGCGTCCTCCTTGGCGCTGTCTGGTTTCACACTCTCGGCCACGGACTCCCGGCGACTCTCTGCCTTTTCAGCCTCGTCCTTGACGCTCTCAGCCACGGATCCTGGCCTGGAAGGCTCCTTGGAAGCAGCTGCAGACTTCTCGTCCTTGGTGCTCTCTGCCTTTACGCTCTCCGCCACCGATTCTCGCCGGGATGCCTCCTTGGACTTGTCAGCTTCGGCGGAGACACTTTCCGCTACGGATTCTGGCCGGGATGCTTCCTTGGAGGCCAGCGGGGACTTGCCATCCTTCACACTCTCCTCCTTCACACTTTCGGCCACTGATTCTCGCCGGGAAGGCTCCTTGGACTTGTCGGCTTCGTCCTTTAAGCTCTCCGCCTTGGCGCTTTCGGCCACGGATGCGGGACGAGATGCCTCCTTTGACTGGGCAGCGGAATCCTTAACGCTCTCAGCCACGGATTCGGGACGAGAAGCCTCCTTGGATGCGAGGGGAGAGGCTTCTGGCTTGACGCTCTCAGCCACCGATTCCCGGCGAGATGGCTCCTTGGATTTGTCGGCAGCGTCAGCGTCATCCTTGACGGACTCGGCCACGGATTCTGGTCGGGATGCTTCCTTGGAGGCCTGGGCCGACTTCTCGTCCTTGGCGCTGCCCATCTTGATGCTCTCGGCGACCGACTCCCGACGGCTTTCGGCTGTTTCAGCTTCATCTTTGATGCTCTCCACGACGGAACCTGGTCTGGAGGGTTCCTTGGAGGCCGGCGCTGATATCTTCACATCCTCGACTGCAGCTGATTCCCGTCGGCTGTCCACTAACTTCTCCGCCTGATCCTTGATGCTCTCGGCCACTGACTCGGGCCGGGACACGTCCTTTGAGGCCAGTGGTGACTTCTCGTCCTTGGCGCTCTCCGCCTTGATGCTCTCCGCCACCGACTCCCGTCGAGAGGCTTCCTTGGACTTGTCAGCTTCCGCCACGGAGGCTGGCCTGGATGGCTCCTTCGAGGCATGCGGCGACTTTTCCTCCTTGACTGGCTGGACACTCTCCACCACGGACTCTGGCTTGTCAGTGTCGTCCTTGTCGCTTTCCGCTGGTGATTCCGGCCTGGACACATCCCGGGACACCGCCACGGGTGATTTGCTGCTCTCCGCCTTGAGGCTCTCGGCCACGGAGGCCGGGCGGGAGGGCTCCTTGGACGCCACAGACTCTGGCCGCGAGACATCCTTGGCTTTTTCGGCAACGGACGCTGGACGAGAGACATCCTTGGCGGCATCCTTGACGCTTTCGGCCACGGACTCTCGTCGAGATTCAGCTTTGGCGCTCTCCGCCACTGAGGCTGGCCGGGAAGCCTCCTTGGAGGCCAGAGGAGACTCCTTCTCGACCACCGACTCCCGCCGGCTTTCTGGCTTCTCGGCTGCATCCTTGGTGGCTCCTAGAACCGATCCTGGTCGCGAGACTTCTCTGGATGGCAGCGGAGATGGCTCCTTGGATTTGTCCGCCACTGATTCTGGCCGAGAGGGTTCCTTGGAGCTCTCCGCCTTTGTGCTCTCAGCCTTGACACTTTCGGCGATTGATTCTCGACGAGATTGATCCTTGGACTTGTCTCCTTCCTCCTTGACACTGCCCACGGCAGACCCTGGTCGCAAGGCTTCCTTGGAGGCCGGTGCTGATATCTTCACATCCTCGACTGCCGCTGACTCCCGTCGGCTGTCCACCAACTTCTCGGCCTGATCCTTGATGCTCTCGGCCACTGACTCCGGCCGGGACACATCCTTGGAGGCCAGTGGTGACTTCTCGTCCTTGGTGCTCTCCGCCTTGATGCTTTCGGCGATGGATTCCCGACGAGATGGCTCCTTGGACTTGTCCACTGCGGAGGGTGGCCTGGAAGCCTCTTTCGATGCAGCTTCTGGTGACTTTTCATCCTTTGTTTCCTCCTCATCGATGAGACCTTCGGCGGAGCTGGGTCTCGAGGCTTCCTTGGAGGCCAGCGGTGACTTGTCATCCTTGGTGCTCTCGGCCTTGATGCTTTCGGCAATGGATTCCCGTCGGGATGGCTCCTTGGACTTGTCGGCAGCAACTGATTCTGGCCGGGAGGTCTCCTTGGACTCTGGCTTAGGGCTCTCCTCCGCTAGAGATTCCCGCCGGCTGTGCTCTGCCTCAGCCTGGGCTCCTTCCTTGATGCTCTCGGCCACGGATTCTGGTCGGGAAGCTGGCTTCTCAGCGGATTTAGTGCTTTCTGCCAAGGATTCGCGACGTGAGGCTTCCTTGGACACGGCCTCATCCTTGGTCTTTGACGACTCGGGTAGGGATTCGTCCTCCTTCTCTCCCTCTGACTCCTTCTTCTGGGCTTCCAGTGGAATCTGCTTGGCCTGGACCTGCACCTCCACCTCGATGGCCTCCTCGATGGTGGCTGGACTCTCCATGGAGACGGTATCCTCGCGCTCCTTGGCCTCCTTGGGCGGAATGGCTGCCAGAGGGGCCGCCAGCTGGGCGGGCAGCTCATCCTCGGAGGTAATGTCGCTGGTCTCCTTCTCCTCAGGCGTGCTGGCCGACTTCTTGGCCTCCTTTTCGGTGATGACGACATCTGCCGTTGGCTCGGCCTGGGGTTTCTCTTGGTCCTCTCCTGCTTCCGGCTGCTGTTCCTCCTCCTGGGTCTCAGTTACCTTCTCTTCGGTCTCCTTCTCGGATGCCTTGGCTTCAATGACCTCTTCCTTGGCCACTTCCTTGGGTGATGGTGAAACCAGGATTTCAACTACTTTGGGCGCTTCCTGGTGAGCCTTCTCCTGCTCTTCCTCTGGCTCGGCCTCGGCTTCGGCCTCTCCCTCTGCCTCCTTGGTTTCCTTTTCATCGTCGGTCTCCTTCTCCTCCTTGGCCGACTCCTCCTTGTGCGAAATGCTCTTGGCACCGGCATCCTGGCTGTCCTTCTCATACAGGCCCAGATCAGCCTCCTCGTGCACCGGCAGATCGGCCACCTCGTCGGGCGTTTTGATCACATCTCGCAGGAGATTCTGCTGCGCCTCGAAGGTCATCTTCATGGGCAGCACGCGCTCCCCGGAATCGGGCAGCTCTGCCTTGCCTAGCTGAGGAACAGCTGCACCTACATCCTTGCCTGTGGCTGCCGTCTGCAGGATGTCGGCTCCCTTGAGGGCAGCTACTGCGTCGGCAGCTGCCTCGGTCACAGCCTGAACGCTGGCCACCACCACAATGGCCTCCGTCTCCTTGGTCTCCTCCTTGACATACTTCTCCTCGATGACCAGGTCCTCCTTGATCTGGTCAAGGGGAATGCGCTCATCCTCGGGCAGGGTGGGCGCCGTGGTGGCCCCCGACTCAATGGTGGCCGAGAATTTCTCCTCAGGCAGGCTCTCCTGCAGATTGACGGGCAGAGCATCGACGGCTCCTGGCTCCTCCACGGGCTCGTCCTTGGTGTCGGATGTCTTTTTGCTCAGCTTCTCCTCGGGCGTGGGCGAGGAGAGCTCCGTCTCCTCGGCTGGCTTGGCAGCCAGCTGCTCCTTGGCAAAGTCCTTGGCTGTGGCTATTATCTCCTGGACCTCGGCCTTGATGTCGCTCGTCTCTAGGTGTTCCTCATCATCCTGCCTGGCGGCGGCTGCTGTGCTGCCCTCTAGACGCGCCTTTCGCTCGGCAGCCTCCACCTTGGCTATGGCCGCCTCGATCTCCTCCTCGGCGCTCTTCTTGCGCTTCTTCTCCGATTCCTGCGAGTCGCGCTGATGCTTTTGGATCTCCTCCTCCTCTTTGGTCATGCTGCTCTCCTGCTCCACTATAGAGTCCTCGGTATATTGCTCCACTTCCTCCTTTTCAATGATCAGGTACTCCTCTTCCTCCTCCTCCGGCTCTTCCTCGCCGCCAGCGGGCATCTCCCGCAGCTCGGCCTTGATCTGTTGATGCTGCTGCTGCTGCTGCTGATGCTGGTGGCGCTTCATCTCGTCGCGACTGAACACCGCCTCAATCTCGCGCACCACCTCCTGCTCCTCCTTGAGGTCATCCAGCTCGCGCTGCTTCTCGGCATCCAGCTCCTGGCTGGCTGTCAGGTCTTGGAGCAGTTTCTTGGCCGCCGTGGCCTCGTCCGCGGAGGGAGTGGACACCAGACTAGAGTCCGTGGTGGTGGTGCCACCCTTCTCCAGGCGTTGCGCTTTCTTCAGGTTGGGCTTGGCCTGTTTCACAGGGCTGCCGGGGCCAGGAGCACGCTTCGAGGGTGAGACGCCGCGCGGTCTCCTCGAGATGGGCTTCCGCTGCTGCTGGGCAGCTGCCGTCGCCGTGGTCGAAATGGCTGACTTGGCCTCCGTTTGGACCCTTCTCTCCGAGCTGCTGGCGGTGGTCACCCGCCTGGCTGTACTGCTGGTGGCTTGAACCCGGGCCGCCTGCTGTTTGGACTCGAGCACCTTGCGATTATTGGCCTCCTTGGCGCTCTTGGCCGGCGTGCTGCTGGGACTGGACTTGGTGGTGGTGGTGGCAACTGTGGAACGGCTGCTCAGTGGTGCCTTGGCTGCCTTCACGGCGGATGCCCGGGCCGCTGGCGTGGCCGTTGGTGAGCTCTTCTTGTCATCCCGCGGCTTGGTTAGCTTACGGTCCATGGACTTGGGCGGCTTGGTATCGATACGGGAGCGCACCACTGGCTTCACCTCGGCCCGTGGCTTGTCTGCTGCTTTGGCTGACTTGGTTACAGACTTACCCACTGGCTTGGCGGTGGGCGTGGCATCACTGGCGGCGGCTGGTGGTGGCACTGCCACGGCATCTACTGCATCCTTGGCAGGAGGAGCTGAAGCTGTAACCTGTGGCTGCACTTCCTTCTCCACCTTCTTCTCCCCTTCGCCAGCATCCTTGTTGTTGTCCTGCTCGGGTTCTGTCTCCGGAGCAACCTCATCCTCGGCCTGCTCGGGTTCTGCCTCGGGCTCTGGCTCCTGTTCCGCCTCTGGCTCGGCATCCGTGTCTATGGAGTCGGCCTTGGTGCGCACAGCTTGAGCTGCTGCCGCCGCCGCCGCTGCTGCAGCCGCCGCTGCTGCTGCTGCTGCCGCCTCCTTGGCCTTGTTATCCTGCTGCTGGGCAGGAGCTCCTCCTCCTACTCCACCTCCAAACTTGGCGCTCTTGAAGGTAGCACTGGGCGGAGCAGGCGTGGCCTCAATGGCCGACTTGAGGCTCTTGCGGGTGCTGGCCACCGTCTGTATGGCCATGGCCGGGGCTATGGACTTGGCCGTGCACGTCGAGTGCTTCATAAACTCCAGATGCTTGAGCTTCTCGAGACCCTCCTGGATCTTAAAATCGGGCGTGCTGCCCGGAAAGAGGATTCGGGTGATGGTATCCTCCGGATTGGCCGGCTGCCACACGAGGAGAGCACAAATCGAGACGAGATTCTGGAGGGGAAAATTAAAATCTCGAGAATCGCGACCGGCAAAGAGCCGCTGATCGCCGGCATGCCACTTCTGGAGAAACTCCTTAACCTCCTTGGAGTCCCTGGCCGGACTTATCACATACATGTCCAGGGTGCCGTGGCCCACCTTGTGGTAAAGATTGACCGGCTCCTGGTTGCGGTAGCAGACCTGCGGCTTCAAATCCAATGCCTTCAAATCATTGACGATGCCATGGCCGCGCTCAAAGAGATCGATGAGCAGGGGATCGCGATCCTTGTCGCCATCGGGACTGTCGGGCAGGCAGCCCCGACGATCAGGTACATTGCCAAAGAAGTGTCCAATCTGGGGATAGACATGTGAGTCCCTCTTGCGAGCCACCACAGCTCCAAGTCCTTGGACATTGCTATTGTTCAGACGTGTCATCAGGACGGCATCCAGGCGATCCAAATGGCGGGCAAAATCCCAGAAGCAAGCCTTCCTATTAAAGCCGCCATCCACTGGAAAGGAAGATTAGGATGAGTTGAAGGATATTTCAGTATCAATTTTTGACCCTGATCTTACCTAGCATATTGAAGCCATTGATGCCAAAGAGCGCTGCATCGCCCTGGCCGCCGGGGAAGACGTATAGCGTGGGATGTGTAAAGCGTATGTTGCCCACCACATCCGAGGTCTCGAGCAGCTCCCTCAGCGAGGTCGGCATCACCATGGGTGCCAGGTAATCTACGCAACAACTCAAGTTAATTTCAAGGGATATAGTATAAGCTAGGAGAAACCGCATAATCCTTACCTATAAACCCATTGATGTACTCGCTACTGGTTTCCAGCACATCCACGGGATTGATCCTGATGCGGCACTGGCGGGCAAAGGACTTGTCCGGCAGCGTGTGCCACAGACCTGCATCTGCGCAATGGATATTCATGGTAATGGTGTCGGCATAGGCACGAATCACCCTTTGTACGTCGTGCTCCTGGAAGGCCTCCGAGAAGTCTGCCACCGAAAAGGTTCCATCCTGAATAGGAAACATGGAATCATCAGGGGTGGTTTCCTCCATCTAAAAGGTTTCCCCACTCACCTGAAGTATCCAGGAACCATTGCCACTGAACGTATAGCCGGCATGGATGATGTGCCGGTGCCGGGTGAAGCTGCTAAGCAGGTTGCGCATGCACTGGATCAGCGTATTGTACTGGGGATGGATGAGCACCTCCGTGACCAGATTCTCGCTGGCATACTGTATGAGTCGTTCGCCTGCAGGTGTCCGGTGAGAGGGGAAAAATAAAGAGAAAGGAGACCAGATACCTGGAGTAAGGGATAATTGCGAACTTCTGCCTGACCTCGTTACAAGGCACGGACTTGGACTCGAGCACGCACACGGTGGTGCAGCCCGCCTCAAGTGGATTTCGATTGTCAAGCGTTATTGTCACCACACAACCCCTATATATACCCTATATATACCCTCTGCCTGGGCTTGGGGAAATCATTTAATGAATCTTTAATTTTAATGCTTTAATTAAGCGTCGGTACGAGGTGCTGCGACCTTGCCAGCGACCTTGATGGCCACCCCCAAACGGTATCCATGATGATGGTGATGATGATTATGAGGGAGGATGATGCTGCAGATGATGTGGCCTTTTTCGGTTGCCTTTTTGATACCCTTGCAGGAGGTATTATAATTTTAGGTAGAAGTTTGTCACGCAATGAAAAAGACATTTCCCAACTCTATAAAGTATATTTTTGTTTGACATCAACAGCCTAGTCTATCTAGACAAGTCTGTCTGTCAGTTTCTAACCAAACTACTTTCTCTTTTTAAAAGTTATCTGCATAAAACTTTGCATATAGTTTTCTAACTCTTCTGAAGGCGACGGATCAATGGACTATATCATATAGCTGATAAACAAACAATTGGAAGGGTATGCAAACTTCGGCATGCGCTTCCTTTCTTGTTTTTGTGTTTTTTTTTTCTGGCAATGGTTTTATGGTTATGCGTATGTACGAACCTAAATAATTTACGCATTTTCCGCACTAAATAGTCGTTGACAAAAAACCAACAACAAGCTAAAGTCTTGCCTTGTCAAATGCATTCCCCCCAAACCCCACTCCCCATCATCTACACCCACTTGGGGGCCAACGGTCAAATGTGCTCACGTACGCGTAAAAAAAATACAAGGCAATACAAGGGGGGAGGGGGGAGAGAGAGTGTGATGAGAGAGGGGACCCACCAAGGTGGGGCTGCTATGGCTTCGTCCAGCTGTCGCGTCCCAGAGCCCGATCCCGCGGTGTGGTGGTGTGTGTATCCCTTGTGCTTTTTATAAATGATAATCTCTCTATCCTTCTCTCTCTCTCTCTGGCAGGCGACCTCCTCTGCCGGCTTATATTTATCGTAGCGAGCTTGGAACACGCACATGAAACGCAGTGACATATATATATGTATATATGCGAATCCCAAACCGCGCTGCCTCTTTCGGCCCAATCTTCCAACCTGGCAAACCGTGCGTATACGCAATATTTGTGAATTTGGGTTGTGCTGTCTTGTGTGTTGTGTCACTTTCATGGAGTCTCCCATAAGAAAATATAGTTTATAAGCAAGGATCCAAGTGTGTGTCCTGGGAAAAAGGTTGGGGAGGAGTGGGAGAAGGGGGAGGAGAAGGAAAAGGGGGAGAAGGAGCAGCAGTAGGAAGAGCAGCAGGAGGAGCAGTTGGAGGAGCAGCAGGAGGAGTAGCAGGAGGAGCTGTAAGAGGAGCGGTAGGAAAAGCAGCTTTATGAGTGGTTAGAAGACCAAAAAACTGCTGTGGGCTGAGACAACATTACCATCTTGTTGGCCACCAAGTTAACATGAAATGGAATGCGGCCTCTGGCTGCAGTTTGCTAATAAAATTCCCCAATAAAATGGGTTCTTGGTTGGACATTCTTGGCCAGAAAATGAAAACTTTTCATTAAAAACCAATAAAAAAAAAACCTATTGCACCAAAATTAAAGAGTAAAACTCAGGACTTGCTTCCTATTTTTGCACCTCAGGATTAATGGAAACCCAGACCAAAGCCAGACTTTAGCCAGACTCTAATCCTAGACACTCAGAGGATTCTATGATCCTGCCCAGGGGCACTCCAAGCTGTCTGCACCTCGGTTGTGGCCAGCATAAAGTGGCAACATGGCGCCAGATTAACCGTTAATAACTGCACCAGGCGTTGCCAACTTTTTGTTCTATTTTGAAAAAACAAAAGTATAAAAAAAAAGTATAAAGGGAAATGGGAAATGGGAAAAAAATCTACATAACAGCAGGAGCCACAGCCGGAAACTTTTTGTGTTTTATGATTTCGTTTTTTTGTATTTTGTTTTTTGTTTTTTGACTGCAGAGTAATTACAGTTCAGCTCTTGACCAGCCTCCCTCCCTAGTCTCCCCAGCAAAAAGTTAGCTGTCAAGCCAACGCGGACCAAAAAAAAAAAAAAAGTTTGGAATGACCTCAAGGAGGAGAATGAGAGAGAGTAAATAGAGGAAGGAAGGAGCAAGTTAGTCTTCTAAAGGGAATAATGAGGCAGCGACAGCTCCGGAGAAATGATGACCAAATGATTGAGTCAGTAACTTTTTTTTAAAGAACCTTTTTCAGAGGAAGCAACAATAATATGTTGATTTTATTCAAGGAACTTCAGGGTTTATCCTCAGTTTTGGAGGGATATTAGAGCTTGATAAAGTGCAAGAATGGTTGATACAAGGACTATTTCTCAAAGAAAGAGTATATCCAAGTCACTAAGCTTGTTTCACTTAGTTTTCTTTAATATAAGGCTTTGATATATCCATCTTTTCTGTTATTCCCTATTTTTAAAAATCATTTTTAATAATTACCAATTAAATCAAGGGTTAGGTTACTTCAAAGCCATGGCATTCCTCCTAAACTTTGCCATTGTCACCGCCCTATGCCTGGCCAGCCTCTCGCTTTATCGCTATGGCAACATACCGGAACAGCACTTGGTGGTCACCCTTTCCGTGCTAACTGCCTGGTGTTTCTCCTTCCTAATTGCCTTTAGCATTCCGTTGGATGTGACATCGACCCTGCATCGCCAGTGCTTGGAGGAGCATCGATCCAGCATCGTTGACTTTGGCAATGGCAGCAATGTCAGCGAATGCCAGGCACCTTGGGGCATGGTCTCCGACCATGTCTTTCCCAATCTGTGGCGCATCATCTATTGGAACTCGCAGCTCCTCACCTGGCTGATCATGCCACTGATGAAGTCCTACCTAAAGGCGGGCGATTTCACGGTCACGGGAAAGCTCAAGTCGGCGCTAATCGAGAATGGGATTCCTTATGGATCATTTTTGTCCATCTGCGGATTACTTCGTGGCTACATTGCTGTGAAGGGCGAGGAAATGGACTGGGAGAAACTAAAGGCCATCGCTGCCTCCACCTCTAATACCTGGGGCCTATTCCTGCACATCCTGCTGTTGGGTTATGCTCTGGTTGATGTGCCCCGTTCGCTGTGGAACAATTCCAAGCCGGGATTTGCCCTGCAATATGCTTATTTCAAGGCGGCCAAGCTGTATGCTGAGAAGTCAGATGCCGAGGAGCAGGTGGACTACATTCTGGAGTTGGTGCAGGGCTTGAGCCAGGAGATTGCCATCAATGACGAGCTTCTGCGACCCAGCCTGGAGGCCATTCAGCGCAAGATACCCGTCGAGCTGCAGGAGAAGGCCAGACACAACTTTTCCCGCACCGGAGACTGCTCCACCAGGAGCACTATTTTGCCCTCTGAAAAGTCTCTGGTTCGCATCCATGCTCAGGTAATCAAAGCCTTGCAGACCCTCCAGCGTGCCGAGGCTTTGTGGAGTGTGCAGGTGCAGGCGGTGCTGCATCTGGAGGATGTGAACAGGAATATGTATTCCTCGGAGAGAAGCTTCAAGGCCGAGTTCCCGCAGCAGCGAACGCAGCTGGTGGGTATGTGCCATAGCTCTAAGGTGCAGTGGTACTGGGAGTGCCGGCTGAAAATGCCATTCCTCCGGATGATGTCCTTTCTCACCGCCACCATGTCCGTTATGGTGGTGTGGAGCGAGCTGACCTTCTTCTGTCGCCGTCCCGTGCTCTCCATATTTGCCAATGCGATTTATGTGGCCAAGGACAGCTACAACTTCTTCACCATTGAGCTCTTCTCGACCACAATCCTATGCTATTTCTTCTACTGCACCTACTCCACCATCCTGAGGATCCGTTTCCTGAACCAATACTATCTGGCGCCGCATCACCAGACCAACGAGCTGAGCTTGATCTTTAGCGGCATGTTGCTTTGCCGCTTGACCCCGCCCATGTGCCTCAATTTCCTGGGCCTCATCCACATGGACACGCACATTATTCCCGAACGCATCAAGGAGACTGCGTACACCCGGATAATGGGTCACATGGATGTCATCGGCATCATAGCGAATGGTTTTAATATTTATTTTCCAATGTCTATGCTGGTCATTTGCCTGGCCACGTGGTTTAGTTTGGGGAGCCGGTTCCTGAATGCCCTGAATGCTCTGGGGTTTGAACAGTTTCTGCAGAACGAAAGGATTACCACGGAACTGGTGCAAGAGGGAATAGCACTGATGGCGCGTGAAAAGCGAAGGCTGCAGCGTGCGGAGCTGGCAATGGCCAGTAGGAGGAAATTCAATCGATGGGAGATGATGTTGGGAGAAGGAGCAGGAGGAGAAAAACCTGGTGCCCTTTGCTCTCCCACAGATGGACTGCTTGTCACTGGCGACCCTAGCTTGGACTATGCGGCTGTGGCTTCTTCGCCAGCCTTGGTCTTGCCCAGATTTCTGTCGGAGGAGATCACTGACGAACGGTTTGGTGAGAGCATCCAGGTACAGGTGGGTTTCCGGAATCCTAACAATGGACTGAAGGGAGAAAACGACCGGGGGATGAGGAGTTCACCACCCCGAAGACTGTTTGACGATGTCTAGGTTCACCCTTTCGAATGAATGAATGAAAGACAAGGACTACTATACACTTTTTCCCACCCAAAACCACATTAATAATGTAACCTATTTTACACTCCTGCACAATCCACACAAAGATGGACACTGGCTATGCCCCAGGCTAATGTATTATGTACTTTAACTCTGTGCATATTCAGGTGGCTATAAATTTGGACACATCATAGCTTGGCAGCCTGATCCCTTATTCCATTAACAATTCCCTGCCATGATGATGATGATGGGTCTTAATTGGCTGGGCTTATCCTGGACAGGCAGCTGAGGCACTAATCCCTCCTGGGTATTACCATGATGATGATAGTTTAATTAGCGGTTTCAGCTGCATTCGAAAAACCTTGGACCACCGTCGTAGGTAGCAGCAGCGGCATCATTAATCAGTGGAAGGCCCGGCTTCTTGTTACGTAAAACGAAAGGAAATCGTGGGACCGGTGCTTCTGTTGAACAAAGCCAATAACATGTTGTAACATGTCAGTGCGCGCGGTATGTTCTCAATCATCTCCTCATCCTCGTTCACCTTCTCCTCCTCGTTCTGGCATAATAATTAAAAGGATGCCGCCGTCAAGAGTCTCCGCAAATGACAGACGTCAGCTGTTCTTTGCTCGCTCTCTCCCGCTCTCTCTCTCTCGCTATTTCTCGCTGATATTAATTGATGTCCTGTCACATGTTGCGACACGAAACACAGTTTAGTCGCTTATCGCTGGACCACTTCCACGATGCCTCCCATACTGTTTGTCCTGTTCCTCCCATATGCAAATTATGTCCGTGTCTGCCTTCGATATTTGCCCAACTTTTGTCTGTCTTTTGCCTCCGTCTCTCTCTCTCTTTCTCTCTTGCTCGCCAGTTGAATTATGCATGAACACTGGCACACACACGCACACGCAGGGCGGCCTTGTAGACCTGACGCCACCCACTCACTTGCTGTCCTTCTTGCTCTACATAAAACGCTGAGTAACTTTATATCTGTATATCTGTCTATCTGTGTATGTCTTTGTGTGTGTGTGTGTGTGTGGGCCGCACGGACTCTATCTTTCTATCAATTTTGCATACGTTTTATCTCAAGAACTTGGCATGGCTTTTGAGGTTATGTGTGCTGGGGTCGTGATACGGCCCATTGTGCCTAGTTGCCACGTGCCACGCCCCCACATCATCAGCCATCTAGACATCTATTCATTGCTTGTGTGGGATTTGGCTTAGGCACGATAAGAATGTGTCTAAGTCCCTCGATAATCCCGAGAGCGGTTGAGGCGACTCGAAAGAGTTGTGCCGAGGGTCGAGTGCCAAGAGGGAAGGATTCGAAAATAACACGTATCGATTGCAAGTGAACTGAATAAAGTAGCGAGAGAGCGAGAGAAAATGGAGAAGCGAGAACAATGGAAACTATTGCCAGGCTTAAGAAGGATCTAAAAGTAGCGAGTAACGATTGCAATACTAGGCAGGCCAGAGAAAACGGAATGAAATTAGTTTTTGATAATTTTTGGGAAAAAAAAAACGAAATAAAAAGTCTAATGCTACTTCGCCCAGTACCTTGTGACTATACAAAAACAATCACACTCAGTTCCAGGACCCTTGACCCTTGGGAGCGTTTTCTTGATGGTCTGTTGCTGTCAAAGTTTTGTGAAACTTTGTTTTCCCACAGGGAAACTTAAGTAAACTGCATCAAAAACTCGGAGAGAGGCGACAACTAGAGAGACAACGACGAGCAGGTGCCAATGAGGACGAAGGCGATGGTCAGTGTCAAGTCAATGGTCCAACTTTAGACATAACTTTGTCAGAGTAGAGAGAGAGGACAAGCCTGGTGCAGTCGCAAAACATGAATTATGCGCTTGTTAAGGAGTATTCGTAATTGGAGCAGCAGCTTTCGGTGTCCATCTTGGCAAAAGGTGGACCCCAACATCTTTTTCCGCGTGAGGAGCACACAAAGTGCCCGGCGAGGCGAGTGCATTCTGTGCACTCTCAATCGCGCCTCGAGGATTTCTCTCTGCCGCTTTCGCATCCTTCCCCCCGCAGGCAGGACACCTCTCCAACATCATTATTGGGCCTGGGACCAGACCAGGCACCGCTTCTGTGGCGGCGCGCCACTTGAGAATTTTGTTTGAGTTTGAGTAGTTTCGAGTCCATAGAAGGGCGTGGCGTAGGCGGAGGCAAACAAAATGCGATTGCGAATGCAAATGGAAAATGGAAAATCCGCTGGCGTTGCCAACTTTTGCCGTACGTACGGACAATGGGCTGAATGGAGGGCATTGAGCGCAGGTGTTGCACTTAGCATGTCCTTCAAGGACAACGCCTCGGCATCGGCATCAAAACGAGAGGCAAGGAACGCGCCTTATCACTGCCTGGGTCTGGCTCTGACTGGGTCTGGGTTGGGGTCGGTCTATGGCCTTCCACAGCAGCCTTGAAACTATGCCATTATATTGGGGGAGAGAGAGGTCCCATCACATCGTTTAGAAATAAATATTAAATGCAAAGGGGCAAAGAAAAAGGAAAGGAAACTTTAAGCTTAAAAATTTTGAAAAATCTGTGCAAGATTTTAAGCAATTTACGCGACTGTTGGCTGATGGAGAGCAGCTAAATCCCAATCATCTCCAGAGCGAGTCAACGAAGTGTACAAACAGCAAACAGGAGCAGAGACAGGAGCCAGTATGCCAGGATGCCAGTATGCCAGGATGCCGGGATGCAGTGGCAGCCACTTGAGTGCGTTTCAACGGCGTTTTAGTCTAATCCGCAAAGACAACAGACCCGTCAGCCGGATCATTGTTGCTGCCTGCTGCTGCTGCTGCTGCCGTCGATGATGATGATGATGATGATGATGCCACTGCATTCGGGTGCCATGAAAGTGCTGCTCTTGGGCTTGGATTTATCACAAAAGCCAAAAACAGCAAGACAACAAGGACAACAAAAGCATCTGAGCAACAAAGCTGCCAAAGCGTTGAGCTCTCTCGGCTTTGTGCATTCAATTGTTGTTCATCCAATCCTCACAATCCCAACAATCCTGGCAATCCTGGCCTCTCTCCCTGCTGCCTGCTGCCTTCTGACTGTGGTTGTTGTCTATGGACAATTGTCATAATAATTCGTTAGGATAACTTTTGTAATTTACCCCCCCAAGCCCATTGTTTTTCCCCCCCTTTTCCCTACAGTCAATGATCTCCGATTAGTAATACGAGCTTCTTCACATGGGCAGGCAACTTAAAAGGGTCTTAGTAACTAGGATTAAGGACTTAAGAATTGGTTTTTCAAAAAAAAACTTACCGTGACGAGCCTCCTCGCCCTCGGGCGCATGCTGTGTAATTGTATTGAGCTCCTCTTCCAAGTCGACGTGACAATCGGAAACGTCCCAGGAGAGGAAACCTAAAATAAAGAGTAAAATAATTATTATTATAAAATTTAATAAATATAAATCTAAATTAAGGGTTTCTGGAATTTCTAATAAAATGTTTATATTTTCAAATATTTAAGTTTCTAAACCCATTACTCATTAGCCTTAATACCCATCGAAAACTTGCATTAGTTGGACAAACAAGCAGCTCCTTTCGATATCATCTCTGGAAATGGAACTGCTGGTCATACATCACACTCACCCCCATTAGTATATGTACATATATATATAATTATAATGCAGAAATGTCTGGGAACCAGTATTTGATAAATGAGCGGGATAAGGGCGCCAAGCTTGGGTAGGAGTTGGCATTACGCATACGCCCTGGTGGCCAGGACTCCTTTTGATATTTACCCCGTTTGTGCCCCCCCTGTGTATATTATGTCATTTAGTCAACAAATTAAGTCAGCATTCAGGGTGAGAGTGAGTATTTGCAAATACAAATGGCACAAGGGCTACCTCTACCCTTTTTTTTCCCCTTGGTTTCTTTTTAGTTTTCCATAGTTTTTCCTTGTTTTCTCTATTTTTCCTGGCTTTTTTTTTAGCATTTCAGCTGTTATCCGAATGCATGAAGGCGTGAAAAGTGTATAATATATAGAAAAATATATGTATATTTAAATATTTGTAAAATCGAATTACTTTTAGCACAAGGAAAGTAGACTTTAGGCTTTAAGCCTCGACTTGACAGGCTGCCTCTTTAGTTTCCTTAGTTTTAGAGAGCGAGATCTCTTCTGACAGATTGCCGACTTATATGTAAGCCCCCTGTTTATGGAAAATTTAATGCAGCAGCTTTTCCCAGCTCCCCCCCGCCCTCCTTTTCCTCTATATAATGTGGGTATTGTTGCTGAATAACTTATTCAAACCTTGCCTTAATGAGTGCTTAACTTTCATTTTTATGCAGTCACCCACCAACTGGGATGCAAATGAAGTGTTTTACCAGGGAGAAGATGCCTGGGTGATATCATTGAATCACCACCAGATCAGCATCTTTCTATATAATATATAATATATATTGTATATATAACAATATTACCCTTCCTTGGCTGCCTTCACTGCGGCAATTTGCACAAATGGCTGGCAAGAGCCACAAAAGCGGGCCAGCTAAAATTGTGAACTCAAGGCATAAAAATGTAAAATCTTAACACTTTTTTTTTCGTTCAGGATCAGGACATTATGTGTGTGTAGGTGTGTGTGTGTGGGGCACACAACAAAGCAGAGAAAGCAAAGGGAATAAAGCGGAGGCCACAATGGAAGACGAAGGAGGAGAAAGCAGGAACCAGGCAGGCAGGCAGGCAGTCAAAAGCGCCTACAGCGATTGCACAAAAATAATGAGGAAGCGCGCGCCCAGGATATGCGACGCCAGTATATATATAAATATATATACGTATATATATAGCATGGGATATATATGGATATATACTCCTGCTCAGGCGAATGAAGCCACTCAGACGGAGGTCTGGCAACGGCTACAGAAACCGAATTCGAGTCCTTTCCCCCACTCGTCCTTCCACTCTTCCTTGCTCTCAGTCTCTCATTTAATATTTATGCGTTGATATCTGTGAGTGAGACTTCAATTTGCTCAGTGCCAGGAACAGACTCAACGGCGCTTTTTCGTGTTATTATTCGGCGCACTTATTTATTTATATTTAATTTCCGACTCCGAGAGTCTGACTCTGACTCTGGTTGTGGCTGTGGCTGTGGCTGTGGCTCTTGGAACGCTTAACCCCCAGCATAACTCAGCTATTATTATATATATTATATAGAGTACTTCTTTTCCCAGCTATATTTCGATTATTTTTGCGGATTAATTGTGGCTTTAGCCTTTCCTTGGAAGGAAACTACCTACTCCTGGTCCCTGAGTCATATTTCTGCTTGGTGGACTCATTTAATTCTGGTTCAGTGATTGCAGGACCTCTTTGTGATAAGAGAACCACTCGTAATAAGGACACTTTATGACACACAAATGGGTTGTTCCTTTAAGGAACCTTTATACTTGAGTGATTTTATTAATTATAGAGTATACAAAGGAGAGAGAATATATCGATATATCAAACAATCGATGAAAAAAAATTGATATTTTAGTGTACGAAAACACAATTTTATTAATTTGATAAATTGCTTAAAAATTATGTGTTTTATTATATCGATAACTTTAAATGTGTTATTTTTCGATTACGATAATTTCGATAATAAATTTTAATAAATACATTTTTTTTTTTTTTTTTTTTTTTGATTCTTTTTGGGGAAATCCAATCTTCAATAATCTATAGTTAAGCCAAAATTGCTTTAAATTCTATTTAGAAAACTGTTCCAAGTTAGTTTTTATGATCACTGACAGCATTATACAGCATTTTATTCTAATTATTCCTGTAAGTCATCACTCGACTAAAACCTTCTACTCATTAGTTGCTAGTTTCAGTTAATTGGGATTCATCATCATCAGCGAGAGATGTAACACACCTATATCCTCGACTCTAATTCACATTACTCTCGATGCGAACTAACGCGTCCTACATCAAGCACCCTTTTCGAGGCTGAGTCGCACCTGACCCTCGCTTCCGCTGACACAGCCTCCACCAATGTAGTAAATGTCGATGTGTCGATGCCAAGGTAATCGAATGCAGACGTGTCAAACAGACAGACAGACACCTGTTTCCTGCCCTTTGGCACCCCGCTGCTGCTATTGCTGCTGTGGCTGTGCGCCGCTTCCGCTTGCCATGGATGATTACTGATAGGCGCCGCCTGGTGGCTGCCTTTTGCCTTCCTCCAGCCCCTGACTGTCTCCCCACCCATTTCTATGTTCTGCGCTTGTTTGCACAAAATAGTTGCATAATTCCGAGAGCACACTCCCCAACCTAAAAGCCACTCTGGGTAGCTGGAAAAAGGCAGTTGCAAGAGGAGCAGGGAGCAGGAGGAGCGGTAGCAGGAAGGCGTGTTGATTTTGATGTAGCTAAAAAGCCACTTGTCGTTGGTTCGTTCATTCGCTCGTTGTTGCTGGGGCCCTTGAAAGCCAACAGAAAGCGCGTTGAAAAGTTTGCATAGCCAAATGAATGCGCCTCTTCTGTAGTAGGTCCCTCCTCCTCCTCCTTGCTCCTCTTCCTTGCTCCTCCCACCCCTAGAAAACTGCCAACTGGGGAGCTAAATGTTTGGAAATGCATAAAAATAAACACATTAAAAAGAAATTAAACACTTGCACTCATTAATTGCGTATTGAGTCAAGTGGCTACAGCTTGGGTTTGAGCTTGAGCTTGAGCTTGAGACGAAGATGAAGATGAATCTGAATGGGTCAAAAGGAGGAGCTTCTTCTACTTTTAAAGAAGGAGCAATTCAAGGATTCACAAAAGAGAAACAAGACAAAAGGACAATAACAATTAAAGCGAATCGAAAGTAGAGTAAACGAGGCGGAGCAAATAACTGGGCTCCTCCAAAACAGAGTCCTTTTGACAGGACAAGGAAAAGCAGGGCCACTGCAGAAACAGTAAAGCAGAAAAGTGAAAAGAGTGTGGAAATAAATGAGTACAAAATGAAGGCGAAAACAATGCTGCGCCTGATTGCCCCGTGCCGATAAGACGAGCCTGATGAGCCAAGACAAACACAACACACACAGCAAGGACCTTTCGACAGGCCAAAGGAGCAGAGACAGGGCAGGGACACGGACAGGACATCAGACATTGGACACATTGTTGATGTGCCGTTCGAGGAACAAGCAAAGAGCGCTTATTGCGTACACAGCGATATGTAATTCCCGATAAGAATTGTAATTAATTGGACGCGTGACGCGTGGAAGCCAAGAGCAAGCCCCCAACCCACAAAATCTTTGTGATTTCCAGGAATCAAAGCCTTGCTTTCACAATTTATTATATATATTTCTTTGTTTTAATAATTCTATTTACTAATTCCACAGCGAAAATGATTTCCTAATTGAAAACATAAAACTAAAATATATTAAATCTCTTTAAAAAAGAAGTCTTAAAAAAACTTCTGACTGAAATTATTAAACTTTAAATTTTTTAGAACAATTTTATATGATAATTTTTGGTAAAATTAAAATTTCAAAATTTAATAACTAAGCCAAAAAGGCATTAATTTTAATTCGGATAACTGTTTTGAGTTAGTTTTCAAAAGGTTATAAAAACTGTATACCGAATTCAAATTATTTTTGAATTAATTTTTTTTTTTTTTAATTTTTTACCAATTTTAATGATGTAACCCATTATAAAAAATTAAAAAAATTTTTTTTCAAGCGTACATGGCTAGATCGACTCGCCTGTTGATGCTGATCAAGAATATATATGATTTATAGGGTCGGAAATGACTCCTTCACTAATTAAATTCATAAAACCCCTTAAGAGGATCTAAAATATTCAATTTCTTTAAATAAATATTTTCAATGGTAATTTTTTTGATTATAAAATCATAACTAAGCCAAAAAAACATTAAATTCGATTCGGTAAGCGATTCTGTGTTTGTTTTTTCAAGGTTAACAAATCTGCATACAGAATTTTAAACTTTAAGAAATCAAAATTTTGTACTTTTTTTTAAAGAATTTTTTCGAAATAAAAAATACAAAAAAAAATGGCAAAATATTTTTTTCTTCCAGACATAGCTAGATCAACTCGGTTTTTTGTGCTGATCAAGAATATATATGATTTATAGGGTCGGAAATGACTCCTTTATTGTTAAAAAAGCTTCTGAGTGAAATTATAATACCCTGAAAGGGTATAAGAATCAGCAGACGAATCTATTTAGCCATGTTCTCCTTTACTTGAATCTGTTGAATCTTATCTTTAATGTTTACTATTTTGCATTGCTTAAATTATTAATTAATAATGTTTAAGGTCAACATAAAAGAGATCTTTAAGCTACAAAATAAAATGTAGAGTGAAGATAGTAGACTGAAAAGGGGAGAATTGCGTCAGACGCAGTCCAAAAAAAAAAAAATGCGTCATTGTCTCTCTCTAATTGACTTTCT